ACTTTTGTATAGTTTTCTACTGAATATCATTGTTGAGTGATCATAGTTCCCTCATCACACACAACTTGTTATAGTACAATGTACAATGGTGATTGTTGTGTGTAATATTAGAAGCTTAAAAAGCATAAATAATAAAAATGCCTCTCCCTTAGCCAAAAATAATTGAAGTGTTCAGGCCAATAGTATTTTCTTAATCGTAATCAAAATGTTGATTTATTAGGCTAATTAATCATCATGGGTATCATGACTCAGTTTTTAATTGTGGGTAGGTTACATTGTTTGAGATGACTGCTCGGTAAAACTGACAATTGTCAGTCATGTTAGATAAGTGGTGCAAGTGATGATGCCAATTTGTTGAATTTTTGTGATGGGACAATTAATTGGATTGTGTGTACTGTAGTTATAGGATGAGAGCTATACACGTGGTGTCCCATCTTCCCAGTACTCTTGTCATTTAACGCTTTGAAACCACTGGCGGTTTTTATCTCCACCACTCTCTCACTTGTTTTATCAGTCAATCACTCTTCAAAAGAAAACTTTCTAATATTATTTTGGCACTTGTTTCCTTAGCTTGAATCTATGACCTCTTCTTCTTGAGGTTGGCAGTTTCAGGAATTCCTTTTTGTCAATTTGGTCAATTTTTTTATTATTTTGTAAATGGTCAACCTACCTTGTCTACCTTGTGTAGCTTCCGGGAATCAATGGTGCTGCAGTTCGGTCTCTGACCAGGCCTCCTGGTTGGTCATCTGGTCAATCAGACGGCTGTTGGATGCAGCTGCTCACAGCCTGATGTATGAATCACAGCCTGATGTATGAATCACAGCCTGAATGAATCACAGATCAGGTATTCTTTGGAGGCGTTTGTCGAGTTCTCTCTTGAACACTGTGAGAGGTCGGCCAGTTGTGGTCCTTATGTTTAGTGGGAGAGTGTTGAAAGTCTTGGGCCCTTGATGTTGATAGTTTTCCCACAGCGTATCTATTGCACCTCTGCTTTTTCAACAGGGGTATTTTGCACATCCTGTCCTGCCTACTGGTCTCCTGTAATATTATTTCTGAGAGACCAGTAAGCATGGCAGGATGTTCATATCTCCTTTTTGCTCCCATCTTAGTTTTGTCATATATAATGCCTCTAGCCTCTCTTCATAATATGTTTTTCAGTTCTGAAAACCATTTTATAGCATGCCTTTACACCTTTTCCAGTTTTTTTGTTAGTTCTTAGTCCTTTCCACATAATTTGTAGGTTGTGGGGTATGTTTTCTTCTATTCGACATTCCATAACATGGCATTTATTCACATTGAATTCCATTTTGCCATGTGGTTCACATGGCCCTTCACATTCTGTGGAGACAAAGTCTAGATACTGGCGTTATCCCTGACATACTAAAAACAGCAGAGATAGCACCACTCCATAAAGGAGGAAATAAGGCAGAGGCAAAAAATTACAGACCGATAGCACTAACATCGCACATCATAAAAAATTTTTGAGAGAGTGCTAAGAAGTAAGATCACAAAATACATGGAATCACAGCATCTCCATAACCCCGGACAACATGGTTTCAGAACAGGGCGCTCTTGCCTGTCGCAGTTGCTGGACCACTATGATATGGCATTAGATGCTATGGAAGACAAACAAAACGCTGATGTAATTTACACAGATTTCGCAAAAGCTTTTGATAAATGTGACCATGGTGTTATTGCACATAAAATGCGTTCAAAAGGAATTACCGGGAAAATAGGCAGATGGATCTACAATTTCCTGACTGACAGAACCCAATGTGTAATAGTCAACAAAATAAAATCCAGCCCATCAACCGTGAAGAGCTCAGTCCCCCAGGGTACTGTGCTTGCTCCAGTACTTTTTCTCATCCTCATATCGGACATAGACCAGAACACAACCTATAGCACTGTATCATCCTTTGCAGATGACACTAGGATTTTCATGAGAGTTGGCAACATAGAGGACACGGCAAACCTCCAATCAGATGTAGATCAGGTCTTTCTATGGGCTACAGAAAATAATATGGTATTCAACGAGGATAAGTTTCAGCTCATGCGCTACGGAAAAATTGAAAATATAAAAACAGAAACCACGTACAAAACGCAGGCAAATCATAACATAGAACGAAAAGGCAATGTAAAGGACCTGGGTGTACTCATGTCGGAAGACCTTACCTTTAAAGAACACAATAAAGTAGCCGTCACAACTGCAAGAAAAATGACAGGTTGGATAACAAGAACTTTTCACACTAGAGATGCTATACCGATGATGATACTTTTCAAAACGCTTGTGCTATCTAGAGTGGAGTACTGCTGCACAATGACAGCCCCTTTCAAAGCTGGAGAAATTGCTGACCTAGAGAGCGTGCAGAGATCCTTTACTGCTAGAATCCACTCAGTAAAACATCTAAATTACTGGGACCGACTAAAGAGCCTAAATCTGTACTCCCTTGAGCGCAGGCGGGAGAGATACATAATAATTTACACGTGGAAAATAATTGAGGGGCTGGTCCCAAACCTGCACACAGAAATAACACCACATGAGACCAGAAGACATGGCAGGATGTGCAGAATACCCCCGTTGAAAAGCAGAGGTGCAACAGGTACTCTGAGAGAGAACTCTATCAACATCAGAGGCCCGAGACTGTTCAACACGCTTCCACTACACATAAGGGGCATAACTGGCAAACCCCTCACAGTGTTCAAGAGAGAACTGGATAAGCACCTCCAAAGGATACCTGATCAACCAGGCTGTGACTCATACGTCAGGCTGCGAGCAGCCGCGTCTAACAGCCTGGTTGATCAGTCCAGCAACCAGGAGGCCTGGTCGACGACCGGGCCGCGGGGACACTAAGCCCCGGAAGCACCTCAAGGTAGCCTCAAGGTAGGTGGTACTCCAACAACTTATTTTATCTAGGTCAGTTTGCAGAGCATGACAATTGTCTAGGTTTCCTATCATCCCTAGTAGTTTAGCATCATCAGCAAACATGTTCATGTAATTCTGTATTCCTTTTAGTAAATCATTTATGTAGACGATGAGCATTACTGGCACGAGAATGAACCCTGTGGTACTCTGCTAGTAACACTCCTCTAGTCAGATACATTGCCTCTAATTACCACCCTTGTCTTTGTCTTAAAATTTTTCATCTATATCAGCACTCTCCCAGTCACCCCTCCAGCATATTCGTTTCCAAAACAACCTCTTGTGTGGGACTGTCAAAAGCATTTTTTCAGGTCCCAATAAACACAGTCAACCCAACCATCTTTCCTGTAGTATCTCTGTGGTCCTATCATAAAATCCAAGTAGATTGTTACACAGGATCTTCCTGTTTGAAAACCATATTGTCTGTTATTATGTTATTAATCTATAGGTGCTCTGCCCATTTGGTTTTAACTTTTTTTTTCTAATATTTTGCCTACCACACTTGTTAATGATACTGGTCTATAATTTAGAGGGTCTTCTCTGCTACCATTTTTATAGATTGGAACTATGTTTGCATTTTTCCATATATCTGTGTTGATATGTTGATAAGTTGTCTGTGCATGAAGATATTTAGAATATCAGTGAAAGTGGAATGCTCAGCTCAGTTGCACATTCTCTCAGCACCCAATGTGAAACTCCATCTGGTCTAATTGCTTTATTTCTTACCAGCCCCTTGAGTAATTTTTCCATTTCATCTCAAGACACCTCTATGATGTTTTCTGGAATTTGTATTGTCTGGTTCTCTGAACCTTACTTTGCACAAATACTGCATACCTTGGAACTGCTCATTTAGTGTTTCACACATTACTTTTTCATTTTGTGTGAATTTGTTCCCCATTCTCACTCTCTGGATTCTATCTTTTGCATGCACCTTGCTTTTAATGAATTTATAAAAAAAAAGGCCTAGATCTGTTTTACATTTTTCCACTGCCCCTTTCTCAAAGTTTATTTTTGCCTCTTCCCTCACTGCTGAGTATTTGTTTCTTGCTCGTTTGTAGTGCTAGTGTATTTGAGGGTTTGGCCTTTATATCACATTGCATATTTAATTTCCAACAGGACTTATTCACTCTTTCCCAAAATGTGTGCACCATGCTGCCTCTTCTTGTGAGTAGTAGTTATTCGTGCCAGCAGATTTGGAACCTATCCCTCATATATTTTGAAAGTGTAAATTATTGTTTCTCTCTTGCCTGTTTTCTATGGGATACAGATATAAAAATTATACAGGGTCACAGTAATTTAGATGTTTTATTTTTATTAATTTAGGCAGTAAAAGATCTCCGCACTTTTTCCAGGCCAGCAACTTTTCCAACTTTGAATGGGGCTGTTAATGTGGAACAATATTCAACCCTAGGGAGCACTGGTGTATTAAAAACTGCCAACATTGGTCTGGCATCTCTTGTTTGAAAGGTTCTTGTTATCCAGCCTGTCCCTTTTTCTTGTTGTGGCAGCTATAGTATTGTGTTCTTAAATGTAAAATTTTCCAATATTACTCCCAAATCATTTATATTACTTTTTTCTTTCTATTGTGTGATTTGACTTTGTTTCCAATTTTTTTCCCCCCATAGCGCCGGAGCTAGAACTTGTCTTAAAGACAATGTTTTCTGTGACTTAGTTTGAAAGTTTGCCGTGTCCTCTATAATTTCTCCTCATAAAAATGCTAGTGTCATCTGCACAGGATGACACAGTACTGAAGTTTGTATCCTTTTCTTCCATTAATATTATGTTTAATTTCTTAACAGAAATTAAATATAACTCCTACCTCTTAGTTCTGGTCTTGGATCACATCTTTGCTTTTTGCACTATTGTGTAGGAGGGAAGGGGGAGGTAAAATGTAGTCATGGAAATATGTACACTATTGTACACTGTATTGTACAGGTAAACCAGTATTGGGCTTACCTATTTGATTCGGTTTTAACTAATTTTGATAAAGATATGTAGTTGAATACTGTACTGAAAAGCATTCTTCAGATAATAAACTAATCTCTCGTGTACAACTTTTAATGTTTTATTCACTCAACAGGCATCTCAAAGTACAGTACGGCCACCTCCTTTAGTTCGGTCATCAGCATCAATCAGTGCAGTGTCCACTCCTACCTCCTCAAGTGCTCACCTGTAAGTTTGCAGAAATATGTATTGTTATAGCTGAGCATTTGTATATATATTGTGACATGCAGAACCTGCGGTCACTGCCTGATACTTCACGGAACACCCTAACTTTAGCTGTGGGGGTGTATTTGTGACAGGATTTTCACCTGTACAATATGTTATTTAGATTATTGCACAGGGCATGACTATTCCCCGAAGAATCTTTGTTCAGATTGAGTTTTGGGGATGAATGGGGAACCTTCATGCAAGCACTGTTGTCTGTCTCCTCTCCAACATCCCTAGCTGCCTATGGTACCATGTGATTATTGAGGATTAGTGCCCCCATTCTGTTTTGTGACTAAACCTCTTAGTTATGTCTGATAAGTCAGACTATTGGTGCTTGTAGCTGACACTTCAATGCTGGCACTGTTGTCTGGTTCATCAGGTGCTAATGGGAGGTATTTATTAACATCTTTTATTAACACATTTAGGGTTCTCTTAAGAGAATTCCTTGATATTGATAAAATTATCCTCCAAGTTTCAATTTAAAGTGTAAATGCTTTGTTGTCTGCTGTAATATTTGTAGAAAATTTTGAAAATGAAATGTGTGAAACACTAAACGCACCTGAGGACAGCACTCCACTTCAGATGATTTTTCAGTCATCATTGTGTATGTGGAAAAAGGCAAACATAATTTCATTCTAGAAAAAGGGTATCAGGGAAGACCCTCTTATAGACCTGTATTGTTGATAAGCATAGTAGTCAAAACATTAGAAAAAATAAACCCAATGGGTAGAAATTATATAATAACAGACGGTATGGTTTTCGATTGGGAAGATCCTGTGTAACACCTGCTTGGTTTGTGTGTTGTAGGCACAGATTTTGCAGGAGATAGCTGGGGTGACTGCATTTATTTGGACCTAAAAAAAAAAATGCTTTTGACAGAGTAATCAGAGGCAGTGCATCATACTGGAGAAATACTACTACTAGTAGTGGGGCACCAGAGGGTTCAGTTCTAACACCAGTAATGTTCATTGTCTACATAAATAAGCCTTCAGAGGGAATACATAATTATATGAACATGTTTTGCTCTTCAAGAAAACCTGGACAAAAGTGTATGGAGCTCACTGAGCAAATGACATTTAATGTGAATTGATGCCACATTATGGAATGGGAAATAGGGGAAAATAGACCACACACAGCCAACAAATTATGTGAAAAGGTATTAAAGAATTCTGGTAGAGATCTAGGGGTGGTTCTGGATAGAAAATTGTCACCTGAGAATGACATAAGAAATTGTACACTCACTTTACAAGGCCAAAGTTGGAATGTGCACTAGCTGTTTGCTGCCCATATCTCAAGCAGCACATCAGTAAACTGGAAAAGGTTCAAAGACATGCAAATAAGCGGCTCCAGGAACTGAAAAATGAAAGCTATTAAAGGTTAGAGGTGTAAAATATACCAAAGTTAGAAGATAGTGATCAGATCACCTCTTTCTTCTAAGTACAAAATAGTAACAGGTACTGTATCAACAAAATTGACAAGAAGACTTTTTGAAAACTGCAACTTAAGAATAAGAGAACATTTATTCAAACTAAGGAAACAAAGCTGCCAGAAAAAACATTAGGAAGTTCACTTTTACAAACAGTGGTAGATGGTTGGAGGTGAGAAGGTGGCAGAGGCCAAAACCGTAGGTAGTTTCAGAGCGTCGTTTGACAAAGAATACTGGGAAGAAGTGACAATGCGCGCATAACTCTCATCCCATATCTACCTTTACGTAATTTTACTTGGGTAATTATTTTAGTTTTGTCGTTGTTCTGTAAAATTACACAGTAATAGATGCTGTACATGCAGTTTACCTACCTCGTGTTGGTTCAGGGAATTAATGTACCCATGGTCCCTGGTCCCTGACCAAGCCTCACAGATGGTGGGATGATCAACCAGACTGTTAGATGCAGCTATTTGCAGTCTGATGTATGGATCACGGTCCACTTGGTCAGGTATCCTTTGGAGATATTTATCAAGTTCTCTTTTGAATGCAGTGAGGGGTCGGTTAGCTATGCCCCTTATGTTTAGAGGGAATATTTTGAAAAGTCTTGGACCTTAATATTGATAGAATTATCTCTTAATGTACCTACTGGATCTCTGCTTTTCCATGGGACTATTTTGCACTACCTGCTAATGCCTACTGGTCTCAAAGATGAGTTATTCCCTTGTTCAGATTTGGAACTAGTTCCTTTTAATATTTTCCAAGTGTAAATTATTATGTATCTCTTGCCTTCAGTTTAGAGAATACAGATTTAAAAATTTTAAGTGGCCCCAATAACTTGGATATTTTATTATGTTGATTCAGGAAGTAAAAGATCTTTGCATGTTCTCCAAGTCGGTAATTTCTCCCACAGATGTTAACCAAAAACATTGGTGTCCAGGGTTTCATTGTGCATTGAAGTTTATGGATGCCTTAGTGCCATTAGGAGATAAGATATTTAGTAGCTCATGTGAACTGGTGGCATGTAGAGCTTTGAGCTTGGGAAATTATTATAGTTACCAGATATCAATTATACAATTTTGAAATTGCCAAATCTAAATGCAAAAATTATCTGGGAGTCATAAGTAAGATCTTAAGCCTAGAAATCAATGTACATTATACTGTATATGTACACAATAAGATAAATAGGATACTGTTTTATATCTAGAAGTACTGTATTAGCAATGAGATTCTAATGTTATCCTTAGCTTTATTTTGCCCCCTTTTTAGACCATTTAGATTATGCAGTTCAGGTTTGGCAACAGTGCTGTAGTGGATATGTGTACATTCAGAGAAGTGACGGGTTATTCGAGGAATTGGAAACATCTCTTATGAAGAGAGATTAAGAAAACTTAATTTACATTACCTAGAAAGACGACTAATAAGTGGTTATGTGATTGAAGTGTGCTCGTAGACCAAAGCTTATAACAAAGAGGATATTATTAAGTTGGTAAGAATATCAACACAAAATAGAACACGAAGTAATGGATACTTGCAAAAGTTTACATACAGAATATTTGGGTGTCAGTTTGGAAATGTGATTGTTTTATGAAACATTACTGGGCAAGATAATAGACATGGGATTACTGCATTGTTTAATGTGAAGGTTAAATATGCAGTACTCGCTGTGCTCGTGGATAACCTTGAAAAGAAATCAATCTTCACAAGAAGTGATTATCATATTTTGCGATTTGCCTCTTTGGGCAAAGTGATCAGCAGTGCAAGGGTTAATGTACTTTTATTAATGCAAATGGTTGAACATGCATTTGTACATCTTTATAATGTACATCTGGGGGAGCCGGTCGGCCGAGCGGACAGCACGCGGGACTTGTGATCCTGTGGTCCTGGGTTCGATCCCAGGCGCCGGCGAGAAACAATGGGCAGAGTTTCTTTCACCCTATGCCCCTGTTACCTAGCAGTAAAATAGGTACCTGGGTGTTAGTCAGCTGTCACGGGCTGCTTCCTGGGGGTGGAGGCCTGGTCGAGGACCGGGCCGCGGGGACACTAAAAAGCCCCGAAATCATCTCAAGATAATCTCAAGATAATCACATTAAAAAACCTAAAACATTTAATTTTAAAATATTTTGTTGAATTTATTTGTATATTGGGAGTGCAAACTGGCCTAGTGAAACAAAATTTGCTCAAATGATTTGTACATGACTAACCAGATTAGAGACTTTGCATCCATTCTTTCATTAGGCTGGGTTCCCTTGGACCAGGAATACATTGTATATTGCTTCTGGTACTTGCATTGGGTTTCAGTAAATCTAAATTATTAAATTATACGATTGCCCTACCAATACGTATACAGAAAGTATTAGTAAACGCTTTCAATATGAATGCATTATCTTTGACATTTGGATATTTGATGCTTGTGAGTGTTTTAAATATTATAGGAAGCTTATTCACAAGATGACAACATCCTCAGGAGAGAGAGAACCACAGGATCAGTTCTTATAACATATTTTAAGCATAGATTATTTATGACTTAGATCTTCAGTATGTTAATATGCATGAACAATAAATTATTCAGGCACTGTAATAAGGTTTACCTATCTGCCTCTTCAATAAATAGATAACTGGATTGTCATATGGTTGCTTTCAGGTCAAGTAGCAGCTTGGATGCCACGCTACGTCAGTTGGGTTATTCCGCAGCACAGATTAACCAGTCAACATTAAGCTCGTTAGTTAATGTTGGTACCCCTACCATGCATTCATATAATACCAGACAGTCCAGCAATTCACATCACGTAAGTTATGAATCATTGTTTTGAGATTTACACGGTTTTAATACGCCTCTCTTTTAGAGAGCCCTTTGGTTTTTACCTAACAAGTTTGCACTCAATATATGTAACTCCTTGTTGTATTAATTAGTAATTTAAAATGATTAAAGTTAAGCAGAAAAGTATGATTACTCTTGAAATTGAGCCCCATATGATTTATTTTAATTTCTCCATCTCTCTCTCTCCATGTTGTTACTAGTAAAGTATCTGAAAAAGTATAAACAAAAATATTTTATTATGGATTAAATTCATTCCATTTCAGAGGGTTTCCACTAAATTAACAATGCCACCATTTTGTACAACCTACAAAGAGACTAATAAGGAGGAATAGACTAATGAGTTTTATGGCCGTCATAATTTATATAAACGATTTTCTCTCTTCAGAATTCCACAGCAAACAGCAGCTCAAAATCTTTGTCTAAAGCACCACCACCTCTCATTCCTGTGGCCAATGGTTTGCGACCTGATAATCTATCTAGTCATAAAGGAGTAGGTAGAAATGGACTTGACAAGCAAAGACTTGTCGATACACCTGCATTCAGGCCGGACCCTACAAGACTAGAACCTCCATATAAAGTTAGAAAGGTTAGACATCTTTTTTCATGGCTTTGCTTAAAGTAAATGTAAAGATGGTAATTTGTTGTTCATTCATAATATGGGACTGAATTAAATCGAGAAAATATTAAGTCTTGACAACATGAATGCATGCCGATGGTTGGTGCTGTGCCCTGCACCCAGGACTTTTGCATGAAAGTTTTTTGTTATGTATGGATGTAATATTGAAATGACTCATACTGACTGCAGTCCACATTTGTATCCACAGATGGTTATGGATGGCAAGGGTGTGTTATGTATTAATCGTACTGCATATACTCATCAGTCTACATCTGATTTTAATATGGTGGCAATCCAAGATGTAATAAAGGACTTTTTTCCTGCAGCGACCTTAACAGAATGCATCGAGGTGTTCCAGAATGTCCTTACAGTTACTGTATACAAAGCCAACTGGTAGGTCTCGTGTTTGTGTGTTTACCTTTAGTACTTGTGGGTAGGGAAATGTGCATGTGTTTGCATGCATGTTTATTTAATCATGCTTTTTAACCTACTTATGCTTTTAACTCTGCTTTGGCATCTCCCAAATTTATTTATAAAATAAGAAATGACTGATATTGATGGTGGAAATACACACATTTTTAAGGAATGGTAAATTTCAATTCTTCTCGCTACCTCCCTCCTTCCCTCCTCTCCTGCCATTATTTTTAGGAAAGTAATGTGGATGTATTTTATATACAGGAATTGTAGTGTGCAGGAAAACAGTACATAAGAACAAGGTAACTGCAGAAGACCTATTGGCCCATACGAGGCAGCTCCTATTTATAACCACCCAATCCCACTCATATTCATGTCCAACCCACGTTTGAAACAGTCGAGGGACCCCACCTCCACGTTATGCAGTAATTGGTTCCACAAATCGGAAACCCTGTTACCGAACCAGTATTTACCAAAATCTTTCCTAAATCTAAACTTATCCAATTTATACCCATTGTCTAAAGTATATATAGACATTTATTTTTGGCCAAAACATTCAGACACACACAAGCAAATAATTTGAATATCATTATCATTTTTTGCATCTTGTATAGCAATATACTAATTACTATACATTTGCTCACACATTTTTTCTTGGTATCAGTATCAGAAGAATATAGCTCATTTCTTTTATGTACAGTGTCCTCAGGCAATCTGTTCTCACCCAGAATTGTACGATTTAGATGGAGTACATTGAACATGTGTGTGGTTAGTTGAAATTCAAATCATTAGCCTACAGTCTCTAAGACTAATCAGTATCGTTTATATTAGGAGGGGTCTATTAGGTATAGGTTACAGATCTGATTCAGTATAGAAGCCATTAATCTGATGACGGGTGGTTAACTTACCTTACCTTCTCCAATTAGTGGATAACTTCAGGTTGAATGTGCCTCTTATCACTGCATTTCTGGGTCATCTTGGCAGTACTTCTTTGCAGTGAACCAATATTTGTTATTTGAATCTATTTTGATATTTCAAACTTGAGGAAAATATAACTCTTTAATTTATAACTTATTTACCAAAGTTGTCATAATGTATACATGTTCATTCTAAGCCAAAATCTACAAAATGCTCTTGAAAAAATGGTATCAAATGAGGTATGTTTGAGGCCCAATGCTGAACAAGATATGAGCTTTGTAGCACTATTGGCAATTGTAATGAAATAATCACTGTACATCATGGGGGAAGCCTTGTTGGAATGGGAAGGTTCATTACAGTCCCATTCTGTTGCATGGGAACTTCATTTGAATTTAAACTTAGCTATAATTTGTTATTTTATAGTACATTTCAAAATAATAATAGAATAAACCTATGCACAGATTTTGATATCCCCAAAATTTCTTATATCAATAAAAATGTATATTATCTTGAGATGATTTTGATATCTTATCTTGAGGTTATCTTGAGATGATTTCGGGGCTTTAGTGTCCCCGTGGCCCAGTCCTCGACCAGGCCTCCACCCCCAGGAAGCAGCCCGTGACAGCTGACTAACACCTAGGTACCTATTTTACTGCTAGGTAACAGGGGCATAGGGTGAAAGAAACTCTGCTCATTGTTTCTCGCCGGCGCCTGGGATCGAACCCAGGACCACAGGATAACAAGTCCAGTGTGCTGTCCGCTCGGCCGACCGGCTCCCAAAGTTCTCAGAATATTGCAGAAGTTCATAAATATTTTGGTACCACATTGCACTTCATCGAACACAAACACACTCCACCATTAGTCTTTACTTGCATACCATTACAACTGATGGCAGTATTTCTTACTACATAAAGGGAAGCCTGTTATTACACCCAGATTTTGATGGACAGTTCCATGTGTGTTTTGGTCACTAACAATACCTTTTCTTTGGGATCCTATGAATTTGGTGTTTACTTTAGATTTTGTTTACTTAGTTTGGTGGTTTTTCAGTTTCTAAATGTCACTGGCATTGATTATAAACTTGAACACTTGCACAAATAGATCGAGTACACATGCATGCATGCACAGTATGGTTTTCGAACAGGAAGATCTTATGTAACAAAACTACTTGGCTTTTATGATAGAGCAAGAGAGATTCAATAGGAAAGAGATGGTTGAGTTGACTGTGTATAGCTGGACCAGCTGGAGCTGGAGGTTGTTTTGGAAACTGGAACACAGGGGTGGAGTGACAGGGAGGCTACTGATAAGAAGAGAGCAGTAATCAAGAGGCAATGTACCTGACTGGAGGAGTGTTACTAGCGGAGTACCACTGGGCTCAGTTCTTGCACTAGTAATGTTCATTGTCTACATAAATGGAAATGGAACCAGAAGGAATACAGAATTATACAACATGTTTGCTGATGATGCCAAGATACTAGGGAAGATAGAAATAGGATTGTCATGCCCTTTAAATTGACCTAAATAAAATGAGTGCTTGGAGCACCATGTAGCAAATGGAATTCAGTGTGAATAGATGCCATGTTATGTTGAAATAGGTGAAAATGTTATGGAATGTGGAATAGGTGAAAATAGACCCCACACAACGTATCTGGAAAGGAATTAAATCACTCTAACAGAGAGAGAGAGAGAGAGAGATCTAGGGTGATTCTGGATAATGGAACGTCAACAGAGGAACCATAAAGGACATTGTGCGAGGAGCATATGCACCTCTCTCCAACTTCAGAATTGCTTTTAATTACGTAGCTGGTGAAATTCTGAAGAAAGTGTTTGACTTGTCAGATCAAAATTAGAATATGCAGCAGTTGTATGCTGCCCATATCTCAAGAAGCTCGTCAATAAACTGGAAAAGGTACAAAGGCATGCTACAAAATGGCTTCTGGAACTGCATAACAAGAGTTATGAGGAGAGACTAAAGGCACTAAATACTGTATGCCAAAGCTAGAAAATAGAAGAAAAAGGTGATATGATAACCACTTGCAAAATAATAACAGGAATCTACCAAATTGACAGAGGAATTCTTGAAACTAACAACTTCAAGAATAAGAGGACACAGTTTCAAGCTAAAGAAACAAATGTGCCAAAAAATATTAGTTGCAAACAGAGTGGTAGACGATTGGAACAAATTAAGGGAGGTGATGGTGGTGGCCAAAATTTTTAGTAGTTTCAATGTGTTACACAGTATGACAATGAGTACTGGGAAGACGGGACACCACGAGCATAGCTCTCATCCTGTAACTACACTTGGGTAATTACATATGATGCTTTCTCACACTCGCCATATCTACGTTTATTTCCTGCCCATCCTCATTTCTTACCCTCAAATTCACCAGTCTATTTATCATCCATTCACCGAACATGCCCAAGCCATTTCAGTATATGCTCGTTAATCTTGTAGTTTATTGAATTTTGCACTGCATCTCACCATGACATTTTCATGCCCTAATCTATTTTCAGAAAGTTGCACATGCTTCTCAAATTGTGCATATTTACTGCTCTAAGTGATGATCGTTTACATTCATATTGCAATAAAGTCCCTAGTGGTATAGTGGTAGTAAACCCACCCTGCACCTCGCAAGCATTTTTTTATTTGGGTTTGAGACCTGATCATGAAAGATTGACTTTGCCAGTCCTTTACTGTTTGCCCCTGTTCGCCCAGCAGTAACGGGATCTGGTGGTTAACCGATTGACAGGTTATGTTCCAGGAAAAACTAGAAGGATATGGCTTAGCATAAGTCGTTTATCAGTGCAAGTGAAAAAAAAATAATTCATCAGCATGCACTACCACTCCTTTCAAACTTCAAGTTACGTTTATTATTTTTTTTCTCTAACCAGGACTTTCATTGCATGGGGCAGTTTCCTTCCTTGACTGACTTTACTCTACCTCCATTGTACAAATACCTCTTTAGCAAGAACACATTTCAAGTATATTTGACCTTATCACTTCACCATTCACATTTATTTCACACAGAATTTCTTTCTCTCTTTATCACCATAACTTCGCACTAGCGCACATTTACTATTTAATTCTTCTCTCATGCACCGCAATCAAATTTACTAGTGTTTATAGCATTTTCATTCTAAAAGAGCTATCAACTGCATACATAGAGATGTATTCCATTTACTCTCATCCATGGATTATCTATATACTTCTTCTTCTATCTATATACACTAGGTTTACACCTGTCTCTTAACATTCTTGACCTTTCTCTCCACTCCGTCCATATATATATATATACCGAAATTGAATAACCAGGGTGGTATTACATTCCTGACACATGTATGTTAATCCTAGGTTAGTACCCTGGGGTGTTTTAAATGCCCAACAAACCATTTGCTAAGCAAATGAGAAATATCATCATTAGTGGTATGCTTGATAAATTAATGCAGAGAATTTAAAGACCATGGAGTGCTAAAGTGATAGTTTTTGAGCCGAGGTGAGCAAACAACCCCAGGTACTGATGTCGGGTTAATATCAAGTCTGGCATTCATTACACCTTAAACATAAGACTCCACATTTCTTTTACTCAACATTTCATAATTTCTGTATATATATATATATATATATATATATATATATATATATATATATATATATATATATATATATATAATAAAATATATATAAGACAACCAGAAACCTTGCCATTTGTTGTGACTTTCATGTGTGTGGGGTAATTGTTTTCAGCCACATTATTGTGCCTTAATTCCTTCAGTCATGTCTTTCATAGACATATTGACTGCCATATGTTCTAGCGCACTTCTTGCACTGTAAAATATCAAATATTCATGTGTATAATAATTTACATTATATATTCATTTGCATAATTATTATATATTCATGTATATAATTATATATCCATGTATATAATAATAATATAGTAATAAAGTTGTGGATTATTTGAGTAATTGTTTTTTAAGTTTTGTCATTTACTATGATACATGCTCACAATTAACACACTGATACATGCTCACAATTAACACACACTTTTCTTTTCAGGCACCAAGTTAACACTTTGATGAATGCTTGGGGAAGTGCCGTTGCTCCTGACATAGTACCTCTGATCTTTGTGTCGGACCTTAACACATATCTCTCGCAGATAAAGTACATTTTTCAGCGACACAACTCTCTTAGCCAATCCCAAGCAAAACGTATACGGACAACTTGATGGTTAGAAGGGTTGTAGTGAAACTTTACGGATAAACCTCATTAATAAACGTGAATACAAACCAAATACAAGGTTTACATTTACTGTGTAAAATTCCTGAGGCACTATTGGTAAATAAATTATTCTAGAAATTGAGTTTTATTTATAAGGAATTGGCATGATGAGGCATTCCATAATAAACAGTGGGTATTTATGAACATATTATTAATGAGGTTTTAGTAGTTTTTACTGGGATTAGCAAAACAAGTTTGTGGGCAGCCATTGAACAAAGACAGCTGCTGCACTTCTGGAATTCAATATTGAAATGTTGACTATCCAAAACAAAGAAAATGGGATGGGTGAACTGAATGGCATTCTTTGTCCCATTTGTTGGGTATTGTGATAATTATATTAAAAGTGCGGTGTAAGTGACGCTACAGAGAACTGGATGATAAACGTGAAACACCGTAAGACCCAAGCTATAAGATGCCGAGATCAGACCTCTGGTAAGTGACGTTTCATTTGTTGACTTTGAAAATACGTAGCACCTATTATATTTTGTATTATTGACTTCATTAAGTTATTATAAAGCAGTGAACATTTCAAAGAGCAAATGTTAATTTGTATAGTTTGGAGTGATGACCACTTGTGGTGATAATGGTACACAATGGTGTAGTTGACTTAGAAGGGAAGCCATACAAGATTTTAAAATGCAACCATGTTAGTGGTCTGAAGAATCTCGCTATAAATTTACATCAGGCGTCTTCAGTATGGACAGTTTTTCATGTACCTTGCTTTTAGTAAAAGTAATTTAAGAGTAATCTTGAAGACATGTCACTTTAACTTCTCATCTGTGATTCTTATCAAACTCATCGTCCCTAGTGAATTGTTCCGAGTGAAACCAATTGTTCTTTAAATTCAATCGGAAATTGCAGTCAAGATCTGTCGTTGCACATTGTTATTGGCGTGATAGTTGGTAGACTTAACTACTAACTGGTAATGAAAGCTGCTAGCTTCTCGACTAGACCTGCCTTCCAAAAACATTTTTATAAGAAAATTTTGTTTATGGGAGACCATGTAGGGATTTTTGTTGATTTATTGTAAACCTGCCTCAGAATAAGATGAAAATGACATTTTATAATGAAGGCAAGTGAGTTTTTCCAAAATTGTCATTCATTTCACATTTCATTAAGTTACTTTTGCTTTTAACATGAGGGAGCCATGACCATGTTATATGCACACATTTTTCCTTATAAAAGTTTCGTAATATTTGTGGCTTTATTTAATCTGGTCATAAAAATGTTTCCTCTTGGCAGTAGGAACTCCTTTATCTCTCTTACATTATTTACTGTTTGATGAAGCTTTGGCCGTCATTCTTAGTATTTATTGGGTAATTCTACTTTCATGCTATGTTGTCATAAATTGAAACTTGCTTTGTCAAAAGAAATTATTCAGGAATAAAAATTGTTTCAGCAAGTAAACATTAAACATTTAATAAAAAAAACTATGGGTAAGTAGTTCTGGTAAAATAAATTAAAAAAAAGAAAAGATTTAATTTCGATGAAATATCTGAGCATGTAGGGAATGTGGGTGCGGCTATAGGACCCACACTTGCTTCTGGCTTACTATCTGTAGCAGCAGCTTATGGAAGCTTGTACTCTTGTGGAAGTATATTGACTTAATATTTTATGGGAAAACTAACCTGTAAATTAAATGTGAAAATGACCGTTTTTACTTTTGGTTGATGTTCTTGGTAGTAGCACACAATCCACAGTTCACTTCATTTGTGTGGTAATAACTGTTCCCTCTTTATCATTGCTCATGCTGATATATCTGTTGAATTTTCCTGCTTTACTCCTTAAGTGCTTGTGTTTACTTGCTGATACAGTCATCTACTACTACTACTTATTTAATATAAACGTTGTGATTGCTCCAGTGATAGGTCAGACATGCTGAATGTTTTGATGTTGGGACTAAGTTATGCTGAAAATGATTCAATTTATGCCACCCATCAGTGAATGTGGAAATTAACATTTGATAAAGGGTCATTTGACCTTATAAATTTTGAAATTGTTAATATTATGAACTCATACCATAGATACTGTAAATACTACAAATATACAAGACAAATTGTTTGATAGGCATCAGGTCTTATATTTGAAATGGGAAGTCTGCAAGCACCCTTATCTATTCCACTTATAAACCTGTGCATATTTAAGGCTTGTTACAGTATTATTATGAAAGAGGAGACAAAAATGTTACAAAAGCTGGTTTATTAGACAAGATCTAAGGAATGTTGATTAACACATGCACAGCTGGATGGACTTTGTAGAATCTTAAAAATACATGGTGACTTCACTTCATATTTTGTTCTACATCTTTTTCACCAATCATAAGTATTACGTTGTCTTGTGTATTCGTGCTACTGCTGTCTTTGCGAATGTGGCCTTTTACCAGTTCTAGTCTTGAGTAGGCATCCTTCGTGGAGGCAGTGTTCGTTCCGTGCACCATATATAAGTATGTAAATTACGTCAGTTTAGTTAGATTTGTTCTCAAGATGGCAACATAAATGTCAAAATTGTAGCATCCTTCATCAAGCAGATTGACCAACCAATATTATGTTTTAGTAATGATCACCATTCAAGACTATATTCAGTTTCTGCTTGATGAATTGGATGTTAAAAAAGTCACTTGTTGCAGTACTGTGTTTCATTTATGGCTTTTTTGCACAAATTCCAGGGAAACTATTACTAGTTTTGTGCTAATTAATTTTGAGGTTTGTGTCACTTGTAAAGGTAAAGGAGTTCTTAAACTTTTACTGGTAAGTTTTGTTTCTATATGCACTCTTCTTTATTTATTATTATTGTCTTGCATTTACAATGGAGGAAATACCAAAGTCCACTGTAGTGAATTTGGCAAATAGAATAATGTTTGCTCTAATTCACTAGTTTTGTTTGTCATATTTGAAGTTGTTAAAAGGTTTTGTGGCCAAGGTGAGGGCAATTATGAAATGTGATAACAGGAAGCTCTTTGACTTCCCTCAACAGTCAGTCTCTAGTACCTGATTTTTTTCCAACTGAAATTTAAGAGATACAGTACCATTATGCAGTATTCACAGAAGGCTGGTAGCATCAGCTGTGTAAGTGTTGTCGTAACACAACATGTAGCATGGCTATGTTTTTAGTTTTGACTAGTGTCTGACGTCAGAACTATACCTTCATTCTTGTAATAAACTGTTGAAAAGAAAGTCTTTTCTTTATTTTCTTTACTGCTGCTTTAGGAATTTGTGCTTATTAATGCCAACACCAGCTTTCCTAGAATACACGTTTCAGTGTTGATGGGCAGATGGTTGAAACTTGTCACGTGGTTGTGCTAACATTTACAGGCTCAATGGTGTGACTTATAGTTTAACCACTTAATCACAGCACATTACTACCATGTCTTTATTTAGTACACATACAAGATTTATGCAATTTCCACTTAATCTTGGAAATACCAAAACTAGACAGTGAAATATTTCACATTTTGGATACCACCAACACAAAAATAGTTTTTCCTCTTGGAGATTGTTAACACAGTAAGTTCCCTGATTGATTCATTCATAAATGAATGCATGACCAAATGGTTTCTTCCGTATATGGTTTTAACAATGAATTGTATTATTGCAAATTGGTATGAGATTTATCAGAATTGTAGGGGTATAGCTATGTGGATATTGAGACAAAAATTTTTCTACCTAGAGCTCAGGATAACTGGAAACAGTGTATTTACAAGTGTGTGTGTGTGAATGGATGTATTAAGCATAAATAAGCATATGCTCTGGTGAACAAATTCAGTTGGCCACAATTCCCAGTGAGTAGTATATCTGCAATAGGTTTCCCATTCCCTCAGATGTCTATTGGTCACACTTGGCAGGAGCACTTAAGGTCTTAAGGCATCCTGAAGTGTCTCCTCCAGTTTTCTTTGCTTAAGTCTTTATCTTTTTCAAATTTCTGACCTACGTTCTTATAGTAAGCACGAGATGGCTGGCCCTGTTGTATGATAGGCAAATCATCACACAAATATTGTTAAACACTTTCCGAACTGAGAGAATATGGACATGGTCAGTGGCTGAAGTGATTAGGGAAGACTCCCTAATCACCACTCCCTGAAGAAAGGAAATTATCCCAGTAGGATAAAGTTAGAGGTATGATTTATATTTTAATTATATACTGTGGAAGTTTTTTTTTAATTAGTAAAAAAAAATCAATAACCTATAAATATAAGTTAAAAATATTTTTCAATACTTATTTATATTACAGCAATATATTATTGAGTACTACTATGGTTCAAAAGAATGTCTGAAAAGCATTTCTACCTTCTGTCTTAAAGAAATTTGTTTGGGCTTAATTTTGAATAGTAGTAATGGGAATATAATGTCAATTTATACATTCTAGGTGAATATTTTGAATTCCATCCAATGGATCATTATCCTCCCCCCTTCACTTTAATAATAAACAGTTGGGATTACAGTATACTGCAATTTACATTAGGGATTATTTGTAATAGCCTTTCCCACAGAGTATCTTGTGTGCTAGTTATAGATCAAGTTTTGCATACATTTCACTTTGTTCTAAATTTCTAGGCAATAAATTTAACCTTCAAGTAGATACTATAAGGCCTTAGAGGATTGGAACTCTTTTTGGTTTTATTAAATGTATCGTTACTGTTGATAAAAAAGAATGTGATGTGGTAAGGTGGAGGTGTGGTCACCACGCACTGGTCATACAAAGATTGATCCTGGTGTTAAGCAGGCTTACAACAATGGTACAAGGTATTCATGTCGATTTAATTTTGCTCCATATCATTATATTTAAGAATAGTATAGATTCTTTTATACCACTGTAAAGGTAAGCTAAAACAAGTATTTATGAATCATGTCAGTGCCAATGCAGTTACAATGACACAAATCTAACATGTAAGCAAGGAGTGTATTGGAACCTTTCTCAGTTTGTGAGAGTAAAGTAACACCACATTAGGAAACTCTGCTTTTTGCTTACCAATGTTATCAAACTACAAAGCAACTTTTCATATCTTTCCATTCCAACCCATGATAGTCATAATACCAACATAATTAAGGCCAAAATTTTAGAGCATTACTTTTGGGAAAATAATTATGGTGAAGCAAATCTTTATACTAATAGGTTACCATAGTCACCAGGGGTAATATATTACTTGAACCAATGGAGCCCAATTAGTTTTAAAGAGTTGAATCACTTTACATAATTTTTCATCCTAATGTAAAGCTTTAGGATTAATGTTCAGTCAACCTGGGTATGCTAACAGGTAACCATTTATTTAGCTAGTAAAATTTATAATTTTATTGTGAAATAAATGTGTTGGTGAAAATGGAAGTTCAGAAGATCTTCAGGAATGATACTGCTCTAATGAACTTCAATACTGTATTCATTGTAAAGTTTTGTACATATACAAATAACTTATGATCTTTTGTGAATGTATATTTGTAAACATATGACACCAAATAAAAGAAAGAATAATTATTATATTTGTTTTAGACTATTAGCTACCTTAAAATATGTAGCAATTGTACTATGTAGCAGATGATATACTTTCAAGCAATTTCCTTCCATATCCGCTGTTTTGTAGTCTTGCAAGAATCCTTATTCAGTCTAATTATTATTTTTTTTAACTTGTCACTTGCTGATATTTTTCATTAGCATTCCATGTTAATTTGGTTTTCTGTTGTATTACATACTTTAAACTATTGTACATTCTCATATTTTCATATAGAGCTTTGGGTATGAAATAGTATGTACTATATTGTAACTTTTTTTATTTTCCAGACTGAACAGCATAGTGGACACACTTGAAATGCTGAATATTTTTGTTTGAGCTGCCATAAACTGTGTAGCACGTACAATAATAACATAATTGAAACATGTTTAAATAACTATGGTGCACCTTCAAGCCATACTAGTAATTAATGCAGTACACCTTACTATGGCTATTCACTAGCCCAAATTAAAAGACATCAAGATTACAGTTCTGGGCCTTGGACCCAAATCTGTACTACAAGAATGAATGTCTGTTCAAAGTTTTAGGCTGCATGCTTGGGGCGTGTGGGCCTCACCCAAATTGGCAGAGGGAATGGTCTGAGGTACGGGATAAATATAGGCTGGTCAAAAATCAAATTGAACCAAATTCAAAAGGGAACAATGTGCTGAGGCCGCATTTGGCCGCATGACAATTTCTGGCACTGACCGCCAGCTACACAGCTAAATATCTTGAAAAAATGTAAAACTAATTTTTTTCTTATAGTAATATGCACGATTATTCACTGATCTTGATAAAATTAAAAAAAAATGTCATTAATAATTTGCCCATACTCGCATAACAAGCAACCTTCCACAGTTTTAAAGGTTTCTCAAGCCACAGTTCTCTCAAGAGTAAAGGGTAACAATTAATTTTTTTAATGGAACAATATTTCACACTACTAAGCTCCTCTCACTGGTAATCAACACATTAGACGATTATTTTTGTTTATAGGAGAAACAGACATACACAGACAAACAGTTGGAAGGTTAGGTGGATAGATGAATAATTATATATGTAGTTAAATAGATGGATAGAAATATGGACAGATGGGAGAGAGACCCAGGCAATGCTGGGAGTCTCTGCTAGTACTGTACTGTTATAAAAATCAACTTGGCCTTTGAAGGTTCATAGCCCAGATTCTTGAAATTCCAGATTGCTCGGGGAAAAAAATCACAAACCCTAGACATTATATAAAAATTGAGCCTAGACACAGGTGTCACCCATGACCAAACAGTAGACATTACTATGCAAAGTGGAGCCAAACAAATTAACAAGCAACTATCCATCATTCACTAACAATATCTTTGAAGGTGTGCAGAGTAATATAAAACACTGGAGTCACCATCTGTGTAACCCTGCCCAATGATTTTCTTACTCGACTTTATGGATGTAATCTGGAACCGTTGGAGAGAAATGGTTGGGTATTACAAATAAATTGTGCTATCAAATGTGATGCAATAAAATACCTAAATTATTGGGATCGTCTCAAAGCTCTCCAAATGTGCTCACTAGAAAGACGACGAGAGAGATCAAATAATATATACGTAAAAGATACTGGAGGGCCAGGTACCAAATCTACACAGTAAAATAACAACATACTGGAGTGAACAATATGGAAGAAAATACAGAATAGAACCAGTGAAGAGCAGAGGTGCCATAGGCACAATCAGAGAACACTGTATAAACATCAGAGGTCCGCGGTTGTTCAACGTCCTCCCAGCGAGCATAAGAAATATTGTCGGAACAACAGTGGACATCTTCAAGAGAAAACTAGATCATTTTCTCCAAGGAGTGCTGGACCAACCGGGCTCTGGTGGGTATGTGGGCCTGCGGGCCGCTGCAAGCAACAGCCTGGTGGACCAAACTCTCAAATCGAGCCTGGCCTTGGAACGGGCTTGGGGAGTAGAACTCTCAGAACCCCCATCAACCAGGTAACCTAGTTCCATAGCTGTTGCCTGCCACTATGTGAAGCAGCATTTGGCTAAGGTACGTATCAGCCATTCATGGTCACTTGGCAGTGACACCCCCCCCCCTCCAGTACCGATTCCGGGACCTGTCAGGTACAGGAAGCTCGTTTGGCTCAAAATTTCCCTAGACGAACTACTGACCTTCTTCAGGATACAACCCACAGCAGATGCCTAGGTGAACAGGAGCAACTGCAATGCTCCTAGGTGAGCATAAGGTATAAGAACACCTGCCCTAGCATCTATGTCCTGCCATGGGAATCGAACCTGGACCATTAGATTATTAACTCGTGACATTTGACCATTTCACTAAGAGACCCTTCTTAACCCTTAAACTGCACATATTTAGAGCCCGGAAGCGAAAAATATTCAAATTATGTAAAAAATTGTTTTAAGTTAAACAAATCTCCAATTTATTGGCTCCAGCACTGTGAAACTTTCATCAAAATATTTTCAGAAACTGATTTTAGACGAATTTTTAAAAAAGAACATTATTTTGTTGAAAAGTAGAACAGCTCCTATTAACACTTCCCTGGATTTTCCACTTGGAATTCGGGCGTTTTGCTTAACCGCTTGTCGGATCACGACGTAAATTTACGGACCGTGTTTTATATTGGGTATTTACTACTCGATCGACTTGGGGTTTGTATGAATATGTTTGCCATTAAATTTTCGTTTTCTCTAATAGGCACAGTGCCTATTTGAGAAAACGGCAATGTACTGTAACTTAGAGGAGAGACTATTGAGTTGGTGACAACGAGGGTAATCGCCCAATCCACACACTCTTGTGTTGGCCGCAATCATGATTCTACATTTATATGCATATGTCTGCGTAGAGAATTTTATTCCGAACACTATACAAACAAAAAAAACGGTGTGAATCGAGTATAAACTTGAAAAAAAACATGAGCAAAGTAAAAACTTTTTACGCTCACGGGTACAAACACGCGTAAGATTCGTGTAAGATTTTATTCGCCGCAAATTTATTTGACGCTCTGTTGGCCAATTCTACCCATGTTCTTATAGAACTTTCTATTGCGAACACATTGCTATAAAAATGAAATACGTAGCTCGAGAAATAATGTCATGACAGTGAAATAAGTATAAACTTTCAAAGCGCTGCATCACAAGTGTCACGGCTAACGCTTCGCCCAGTTCCCACACTCGTGCGGAACATAATTAGACATTGATAGGCATATGTCTGGTTGGGGAATTTTATTGCGAGTTCAGTGATATCAAAATAAGCGCTGTAGGATGACTGTGAAACTGGCAACAAACGAAAGAGTATGAACATTTACTTCCTGTTTGGCTGTCACAGCGAGTCATCTTCGTGTTTATTTACTTCGTGGTGGGATAGCAAATGCTTTGGTGACATTTTATGCATATGATCTTTTAGAGAATTTTATTGCCAACGCATTGATACCAAAATGAAAAACGTAGCTCGAGAATTGATGTTTGGAGCGTGAAAAGATTATACACTTTTTTGTGTTTACGCTTGAGCGCGCAGAACGCCGCGCGCACAACGCGCTTTTTTTTTCACGAGTGCCGCGCGCACTAAAGTGTTAACTGGAACTAATGGATAATGCAGTAATAGAGAGATGCAAGCATCTGTCCCATGCTCAAAGAAGAAGAATAGTAGTAAGAAGTGTCCACAAAGTGGATATGCAGCTGGTGCCTTTATAGCATTGGTGAGTTATACATAATACCACAAATAAAAATATGTATGTTATTATGCTCTGTTTTGTTATATTAACATTGGGCAATGCATTTATATGATGTTACTTTCATCAATGTCAAAAAATACTTTTTTGGGGGGGGATTTTTGTTTTTTGTTTTTTTGTTTTTAAGATTTTCTTTCTTCTTTGTTTATTTGATTTTGTTGTAACCTTTACATACTGGAGATTGCATACCCTTCCCTAATTCTGTGAAGATAGAATGAAATTGGCCAACAAATAAATCAGTCACAACTCGCAGAACTTAGTACTTTGAATTTTTTTTACCTGATTTTTTCACAGACTTCAAACTCCTTTCTTTGTCTCATTAGGTTGTTTTGATGATTAGGGACAAGATTATATAGTGAAAAAACTCTAAAGTATACCCTAAATATATCTCCTAAATCATTATAATTATCCCTATATTTTTGTTTGTTTGGGGGTTATTTTTTTCTTGACTTCATTTCAACACGCATTGCCCTACAGCTTTCACATATTCGAGTATGAATGCCAAACAATGTTTATTAAACATACAATTAATTTAACGAATTAAAACTACCTTTTTTCATTGTGGTGAACTTCAACTTCAATTATGAAACTAGTTTCAATTTTGAGTTGTTTCTAAAATTCCAGTTTCTGACCGATTCTCACCATTTTGACATATTGTGCTCGGCTGTCTGTTCTACAATCCTTTCAGAATGAATTTTTCATAAACCCTATACATTTGGAGTTATAATTTGTTTTTGTCTAAATTTGCCGCATATTTCAAATGCCATATTGACGATTTTTTTACAGTAAATTACAGTGGCACCTGGACTTACGATAATTTCGAATTACGATGTAAATTTGATTGGAAAATGCGACTCGACTTAAGATAGTGTCGTCGACTAACGATATTTGTTGGTACACGTTTGGGTCGACCGAGCGTGTGGTTCCTGGTCACCGGGCCGACCTGTCTCAGTTTACTAGAGCTGCTTGTGTAGTGACGGTCACGCCTATAAGAAATTCCATTTGTGGTGCTTTTTTGTTTTTTGAACATAAACCAATTATTATATATCACGCCATGGGCCCCAAGAAAGTCGGCGGTAAGGTTCAACATATGAAGGGACATGTAAGAATGACCATAGAGGAAAAACAAGAGGTCATATGTAAACTTGAAAATGGTACTAGTGTTGTTGAACTAGCTAGACGGTACAATAAATCTTCAGAGGAGGCAGCAGCGGCATTAGAGGATGTCCCTTTCTCATTAATTAAGAAAATGTGTGCAGTATGGGAAGGACTGCAAAGTTTTGCTGAAAAGAATCACGCAAATAAAGCTGTAACAGGCTGTTGCATTTATCTTTTTAATGGCAATGTGATGCCTCACTACAGACGTGTTGGGAAGAAGGGAAAAACAATCTTCAATGGAATGATTTCTAGTGAGAAAATCAAGCAGTGAGCCAGAAGCAGGTCCTAGTGGTATGTAGGCAAAACGTGCCAGTGTGTGCACCCCAGAGAAGTCCTCACTGATGTTATAATGGAAGGGGACTCCCCTTCCAAACAGTAACACTTCTCCTTCCCCCTCCTTACTGCCTTCCATACGATAATCCTCCATAAAGGTAAGATAAACATAAATACTGTATTGTAGTTAGAGAAAAAAATTGTATTCAGTATAAAATGTACTTTTAAGTTAATATTTTGGAGGGTGGGGAACGGATTAATTCAATTCCCTTTATTTCTTATGGGAAAAATCGCTTCGACTTACGATATTTCGTCTCTGGGAATGGATTACCATCGTAAATCGAGGTCCCCACTAATTTTTTTTTTTTTTTTTTTTGTGATATATACAAGAGTTGTTACATTCTTGTACAGCCACTAGTACGCGTAGCGTTTCGGGCAAGTCCTTAATCCTATGGTCCCTGGAATACGATCCCCTGCCGCGAAGAATCGTTTTTTCATCCAAGTACACATTTTACTGTTGCGTTAAACAGAGGCTACAGTTAAGGAATTGCGCCCAGTAAATCCTCCCCGGCCAGGATACGAACCCATGACAGCGCTCGCGGAATGCCAGGCGAGTGTCTTACCACTACACCACGGAGACTGCTTTAAGAATTGAAATAAGTATATTGAAAATCTGTATTCTAATGGATGAAAATGAAAATCATATGCTATTCTGAGAGCATAATAGCACCAAATGAACAATTGGTGATAGTTTATATTTTTTAAACTGATTTGAAAATCTGAAGTTTTCAATATTCAGTTTTAAAATTATTTTTTATTTTCTTGTTTTTCAAGTTACGTTGTGATCATTTAGACAAAGTTGGAGCATTTGCCTAGTTGATTATGTACAAAAAATTGGGAAGTATTTGTGCAAGTTTGAAAAACTTTAGTTATGTCAAATCATATATGTATGTTTTGCATGGGTTAAGGGTTAATGGAACAGACACAAGCACCTTGCTGTCAGAACTGCACTATTCAGCTAATAATTATGTTCCAATTTTTAGAACCTATTCGGAAATGTAATGTTTTGCCATCTTTAGGTTTTTACTCTTCTCATTTTCATTGTCACCATACATCCAACTAAACAAAAATGCAAACATTAGTGACTAAACCTACCAATGCAAGAAATGGTCATGATATACAGATCTCCACATTGCCTTATGGCCAAATTATCATTCAAGTTTTATTACTTGACAAAATGAGGTATAACATGGTTTTTATTATCCATTACAATCTTACAATCTACAAGTAAAAATATTGCAATACTTAAATTAAGTATTCTCAGTAATGTCAAACCAATGCTGGATAGCAACTGCAAATTTAATGCTATCCAGGGATACATACATCTTTATAGACCGAATATTCAGATTCCTACTGTATTACTGCTTGTAATTGCATTACAAGTTAAGTTGTAGATACAGGAAACCCAAAACTTATGAACAGTATACCATGTCCTTGTTTTTGCACCTGGATCACTTACAGGAAATGACAGAGTTTGTATAACACAAGAGTGCTACTTTTACGTCCACCTGGCCACGTGGCTGTGTGGAGAGGTACAAAAGCTTCTACATAGCCAGACTACACTAGGTGCAAAGATAGCCGGTGACAGGCATTCTGGGCTATGTATTTTGTGAATTATTTCAGATGTTTATGAAGGAAAAATACTACTAACAATAGCCAATTAGAAGGAGCATTGACAATGCACAGGTACCATGGAAGAGGCAACCTATTACCATAGAAAAGAAGCCAGAGATAATCCACTGTTTCAAGAAGAAACAACACATTGTAACATGGGTCGATGTCACCATTGTAACGTTTATGACAATCAAGTACTGCTGTTATTGTAAGACTCAGTGTAATGGTTGCTATTTGTAACCTTAAGGCTGTAATAATTGCATTATATAACCCCAAAGAACTGGAAAGTCTGCCCTCACAGCAGAAAATGCTCAAACCAGTTAACAGGGGAAGGGGGAAGAAATGACCAAGATGATGAAGATATATCTACAATCACTACAAACCGGATGGATGGTAAGGTTACTCGTTTAAAACAAATAAGTGCCGCCTCCACCACTCCTAGAACTTTAATAATTAGGCTAATAAACTCGGGAGGAGACTAGTTAACTAACACAAGTAAAACTTGGGGGAACTTTTGATAATTATTGGTTGAATGGAATTCCTTCTACCTTGACTTCATGAATTACATGGGTAATATATTTGCTCATAAGATCACAGGTACCTGCTTGATGGGGTTCTGGGAGTTGTTCTACTCCCCAAGTCCGGCCCGAGGCCAGGCTTGACTTGAGAGAGTTTGGTCCATCAGGCTGTTGCTTGCAGCGGCCCGCAGACCAACATATCCACTGCAGCTTGGTTGGTCCGGTACTTTTCGAAGAAGGAAGTAATGTCTCGGTAATGTCCAAAAACAATTTAAGACCCATATCTTGGATAATAATCAGGGAACAATATACAAAATACACCGAAGACAATTTAAAAGTAAATTTATTTAATCAAATGCAAATTAATTAACCCTAAGCTAGTATAACACCCTATTCCTTAAGAGGCATGGTATATGGACTACAAATTGTACAGGGAAAATTCGGCAGACTTTTACCTTCCCACTGCTTCTACTCAACCGATGTTATGGCTTCATGGTGAATCATCCCACCCCCCCTCTCTTTCACTTGCCCAGTTCTCAATAAAATCTTTTTCTCTAGCATCCTTCTAGGTGAAGTTTTAGCTCCATCCCTAAGGCATCTTACCCTCAGAAGCTCTGCCCCTTTTCTAGGTCTGCATCCAATCAATTTGAACTAGGCCTAGATTCTGGTACCTTCAGTCAATGAGAAACTAGGCCTGGCCCTGTCCAATGAACAGTCTTCAAAACTCCAGAGGCAGCATCTTCCCACAAAAGTCTGGATACTATCTATCAAGGCCTACTGAGAACAGTAGAAATCCATCCATATTGCCAAATCGCTTCCCCGCCCTGTTAACTGCAAGGCGAGGGGAGACACGTGACAGACCTTATAATTTGAAACGATTGTAATCCTATGCCCTCGAGCCGTCCGGAGGGAAAACAACTTAAGTATATGGTTCAACCTTTTACACCAAGTCTGAGATGACCCAGAGTAGTAGAGAGACGAGAGGTTACAGCATTGCACATATTCAGTCTTAGGGTTAACAGAATGGCTGTGATATGCTCTCTGCTCTTCCCTTTATCAGATCTTTTCACTTTTCAAAAAGCAATAGTCATACATGAAGGGCAATTCCATAAAAAATGTTTTTGGAAAAGAGTTTTTTAATGTTTATTTTTTTGTGGTCCAGGAACACATTCTATCATTTGAAGTCTTGCATCTACAGGCAATCTGGTTAGGTTGGGTTTCAAACAGCTGACTCTGGAATAGAACCCACACACGTTTGAGAGTTAAAGGGACCCTATAATGAGATACATGTTTTCTAAGTATTTTAGTCTATGCACGTATGTATATAATGTACACAAATACGAAAAAAAAACTTGGTTAACTAATGTAGTCCAAAGTGTAGGTACAGTATAAACAATTTGACACGACGCATAGAATATAACTCATTCATAAAAGAAATGCTTACTTAAATGATTGCTGTATTAACAATCTGCAGTTAAGAGCTGGTACACTTTAGGACCCTTCTTCAACAAATATCCCTGGTGATTGAGACTTGCAATAAAGTCTCCAAAGTCTCCAACTTGAACGTTTGCTTGGCGAGCTAACTGCCTCATCTCATCAATGCTGAACATGGATTTGTAGGTCTTGTCTGACATCTTTTGGAGAACTGCCACAAACTTTTTCATCTACAAAGCAATTAAAAAACAGTTGCAATAGTTATACACCACTCATATCCAGAAGGGATTTTTCTAATTCCAATATTTATATACATGTATTTAGTAAATATAAACCAACTTACAGTATTTAAGAAACTTTCTTGCACAAGTATCCTAAGTAATCATATGATTTGCAATATTGTAATAATTAACACTTTCGCTCACTGCGCACGAGCCCCGCACTACCCCAGGTGGGTTTCAGGGTTTCACGGGAGCACACGGTAATTCTGAAAAGTGTATACTCTTTTCAACTTTGTCACCTCAATTCTCATCCAAGGTTTTTCAATTTGGTATCATTGTGTTCATAATAGAATTCTCTACAGGACTAAATGCATATAAAGTCCAAAAGCCCGGCGTATGATCCACAACAAACAGAGTAAGTGAGAGCTTGTTACCCGGGAGCCCGCAAGAGCGGTAATACGTGTACACTCTTTTCACTTTGGTCACCTCAATTCTCGTCCTAGGCCTTTCATTATGGTATCAATGTGTTTGCAATAGAATTCCCAACAGGAGTATATGCATGTAATGTCAAAAACCGCAGTGCGCTCCACCCACCAACGTGATGAAAGCAGGCCAAGGTTACCTGGAAGAGAGTGCCACACCACCCCAAGGGGTGCCTGGCCTTCCATTAGAGAGCGCAGTAATACTGAAAAGTTTATACTCTTTTTCAACTTTGTCATTTCAATTCTCGCCCTAGGGTTTTCAATTTGATATCAATGTGTATGCAATAGAATTCTCTACAGGACTAAATGCATATAAACTCCAAAAGCCCGGCTTACCACCCGCAGCAAACAGAGAAAGTGAGAGTGAGTTACCTGGGAGCGAGCAAGAGCAATGAAATGTGTACTCTCTTTTCACTTTGGTCACCTCAATTCTCGTCATAGGTCTTTCATTTTGGTATCAATGTGTTCACAATTGAATTCTCTACAGGACTAAATGCATACAAACTCCAAAATCCCGAAGTACCACCCACAGCAGACAAAGAAAGTGACATCCCATTACCATGTGAGCGCTAATCAAGCGCAATAAAATGTGTATGCTCTTTTCAACTTTTTATATATGGCATATAGGGTCCAAAACCATGGTGCGCCCCTTCCACAGCCAAATGTGAATGCTGGGCACAGTTTTTAATCTGTGATTTAATCTGACACAGCATTATTAATCTGTTTTTAATAATGCTGCGTCATTACCAGAAATCCGTCTACTAAATTTAGCATGCAATGCTGCATCGTTACTGAGCGAAAGTGTTAAGCTGACTGCACCAAACAGAAGCAAACTCTTTTAGTGGATGCTGCCACAGTTTGTAAGGGGTAAAATGAGAGAGAAAAAAAGGACCTGGTCAGGTAACAAGGAACACTGCCCCTGAGCAAACTGTGAGGGCATGACATGGTCTCATGACCCATGCAGTGGAAAACAGCTTGAAGAAAATAAAAAAATAACGGAAACCTAGGCAACTGCACACAATCCTGCAGGAATGTGTGGCACTGTCAACAACACTGGTAAGCACCCTGCACACCTGCATCACACATATACAACCCTGAGTGCACGTCACCCTGCCTTCCTGTCGCACAAAGGAAAGCAAACTTGGATGGCACCCTGAGAAGCTGCATGAAGCACCATTCTCAATCTATAATAAAAGCTGAATGCCTACAGCATCAGGAGAGTAACTAGGTAAAACTAGAGTAGGGTACCAGCCATGGTGACCTTCCTATTAGTTTTCTTCTGATAACTGTGTTTAATGTAGATAATGTTTTGTGCATAGCCTGTATAATGGCTTTATTGTAAGTGCTAGTACTGTAATATATATATATATATATATATATATATATATATATATATATATTTTTTTTTGCTATCTATTCTATTGAGAAAGTGAGTAATTATCAAAAGAAGGCACCAAGCCAGGAGACTATGCAGCACAATTCTATACGAGAACAAAAGTGAATAAGGTGAGTAATAATGTCAAGGGTACCAGATTCACCAAGGACTCTATCGAGGGACAGTTGGGAAGCAAGGCACACAAACGTCATGAAAATCAGGACATTCAAAAGGAGATGCATGACTGTAAGAAGGACAATGCAGTTTGGACAAAATGGAGCACCGACCTGCTCCTTAATGCCTGTGAATCAAACGTGCATGGTCAATATGTAACCTCGCCAGAGCAGTTGCCCCACTGCCGGTTACAATGGTAGGAAGAAGGCCAAGGCCAACTGTGTGCTCTTAAGGCTGCCTTCAAGAGCACGCAGTTTGTTACCAATAGCAGAAGACCAATGGGCACAGATCAAGGAATGAATGACTGGGTAGAAATCGGAATAAAGAATGCCTTTTCATGAAATGGGATATGTGCGGATAGCATCCTTAGTGGTAGTATCTGCATGCTCATTTAGGGAAATAATATGGCTTGGAACCCAGCAAAACTCAACCTGCTAGAGATTAGAAATGGTCAATATTGGATTTCAACTACCATAGTATGTATAGGACTCCAAGGTCATGAGAGCACTACAAGAGTCAACCACAATGACATAGAGGCACTAATGACAGAAAAGCAATTAACAAAGGGCATACAAGATAGCATATAGTTCAACTGTGAAGATGCTAGCGTCTGACGGTAGGTGGCACATGTACGTTTTGTCTGGATTGAAAACAGAGTATCCAACACCGCAGCAGACTTGGGCCCCATCTGTGAAGAGGGCAACAGAATGCTAGTTTAATGAAAAATGTTCAAGGTGAAGGTGTTTCCAAATAATAGGAAGGGTAGAAGCCCTAACCATGTAGGTTAACAAAGCCTTGTAAAACTTCACAAGCAAGGCCCATCAAGTGGGTAAGGATGAAATGACACAAGAAGAGACATTGCTAACACAAACTGAAAGGGAAGCTTATAAGCAAGATATTCGAACAGAAAAAAACGTTCTATTGGGAAAATAAGCAGTTAACCATAACCTTCATTAAATCTGATAAAAGCCCAGACAAGTAAATTATCTCCTGGTAAAGTTTACTCTCAACTTCTTGTTTTCCACATGCAAAAGCATTACTGTGCATAACATTATTGTACTGAACAAGTGTTTCAGTTTACAGTCATTCTTGGTACACCATAATTTATCAAGGTAATTTCAGGATATTCCTAGCCACAAATCACTAGTGAGCCTGTTTGTATGGTCCACTACAAGTATGTTGACCAATTACTATACAGTATATCATGAGTTTCAAAACAGACTCCGAATACTGTATCTTTAAAATCTTCAAGGGAAAATAAACAGTACAGTAATGTTATATTTTCCAACACCACTTGGTATATAATTAATTGTATTTAAAGAGCAACCCATTTCTTACCTGAGCTCTATTACTAGATCCTGAGCCATGTTGAGATCTCTGGAAATCAAGAAGACCAAACTCGTCTGAAAAGGTGTCCATCATAGAGAAACGCATAATCTCCACAACATCTCTGGCATCATCTTCAGTGGCCTCTTCTCGTAACACACAACGAGCTCGTGCCTGTGTGGATCATAAGGGGTGTAAAATTCCATCATTATATGCAACTTTAGAGAAATTTTTGTAAACAATGATCAGCCATTCTGCCTTGGGGTAAATATGTCATGGCCACTGGAGAACAAGGTGTTGAACCAGTCGGACAGGATCTTATATTCACTGAGCGAGATTCACATATCATAGGATTAGAACATGAAGTCCCACTGTACATGCAAGATTCAGCAATCACTGTGCCCTGATATTCAAGGACTCAGTTTAAGTATAGCCAAAGAGCAAGGGAAGTAGGAATGTGAGTAGATGAATAGAGTACTAGAAGAGTGAATTATGAGTACGAGAATTCCAAGTTGGAATGCATTGGGATACCCAGCTTGATGAGAGGACATACATACTGCACAAGAGAACTGCCAACAAATTTATTTTAATGGAGGAAGAATGTAGATGTTTAGTAAAGTTTGTACTGTGTTTTATTTAAATTATTAATCAAGAGGAGAAAATGACATGTACATAATAACATAAGAATAAAGGTACTGCAGAAGGCTTATTGGCCCATATGAGGCAGTTCCTATTTATAACCACCCAATCTCATTCATATATATGTCTAACCCACGCTTGAGACAATCAAGGGATCCTACTTCTATTACGTTATGTGGTAACTGGTTCCACAAATTAACACTTTCGCGCTCTCGGCGCTCAAAAAAAAAACAATACCCCAGATGCTTTCGGCACTTCGCGCGCCTACGCGGTAAGACCGAAAAGTGTACACTCTTTTGACTGTCCTGACAATAATTGAAGGCGCACGTATTTAAATTTGGTATCACTGTGTTCGCAATGAAATTGTCTATAAGAGCATACCTATAAAATGCCGCCCAAGCATAAGGAGTATCAACACCAAATAAAAAACTATGCAGATCACTCGCCGAGAGCGCCAAACAGCAACAAAATGTTTCCACTCTCTTAATGGTTGCGAAGCCTACAGTTGTCCTACATCGCTAATTTTGGTATCATTGGAATCGCAATAAAATTCTCTACACGGACATATGCATATGAATGTTTAATATAGGTAATTGCCCACCTGCATGAGTGTGTGAAGTGGAGAGTAGTTAGCCGCGAGCGCACTGGCGAAAACACAGGGGGGAAATCATGCTTGGAAAGTTTATACGTTTCCTGACCCTACTTTTCTATGTACGTATTTCTTTTTTATACCAATGTGTTCGCAATAAAATTTTCTATAAGATGAACTGTATAACATATGTACAAAGCATGTGTAAGAGAAGCGCCAAATATAGAACCACGTCGCTCAGAATGCGTTCGCGGCAGAAACGAACGCATTGTTTTCGTTCGTTTGATGTTTGTCATGTTTATACTTGTTGAAACATTTTATAATTTGTATGACAGTGATCACAGTAAAATTCCCTACACAGACATATACATAACACATACAAATATTTCCCACGTGTTGGATATATCAACGGCTAAAGGGAACCCACTGCCACACGCTCGCCACACCCCCAAACATACTTTGTGTAATTTTTTTTTTACTCATAGAAGTTTATGTGATATAATATTCATTCTGGTACCAAAACATTCGCAAATAAATTCCCTACAAAACAAAAGTATCCCCATCCATTTCGGTTAAAAAATGGAATTCATAGAAATATTTTTTCGATGGACGAGAAAACTCGGCTGTTATGCGGAATCGTAAGAGAAAACGGCGACGAGTTATCTCTAATCTAAAGCGCGAAAGTGTTAACACCCCTCCTTGAAATCCCCTTTGTTATGCCCATTCATCCACTTGTACACCTCTATCATGTCACCACTAATTCTTCACATTTCCAGAGAATGTAATCTAAGTTCTCTGAATCCTTATCTCATATGAGAGGTTTCTAATTTGGGGGATTAACTTTGTTATCTTACGCTAGATGACCCTATACCAAAGCAAAGAAATGCACTAAACTGCATCACAACCACAAGGAAAATGTCTCTCGAGTTGTTAGCCTAACAAGGTAAAAGGTTATAACAGGCAATAACACACGTGTATTGTGTATAGACTGTACATACTTCTGTCAGCCTAATGAGCGATTCCAACTGTCTTGTTGTAATGGGTGTCGAGTTGGTACTCTGGTGACGATGCCGAAGGTCAAGATAAAATTGCTGAAGTACCTTTGCTGCACCAGGAGTGAGTCGTGGCTGTACATATTTTCGTGAATAACAAATATACTTGCGCATGAGCTGGTGAGGAACAGGATCAAATGGCTCATCACTACGGTACTTAAGGCACTCTCTGAGGAATACAAGTGTAATTGCTTAATTATATTCTATCCATATTATTTGTAGTAATATTAAAAAGCCTTTTATTTACAGTTTAACAGGTTGCAAATATAGATCTTTAACATACAGTAGTTAATAATTATTACCTCAAAGACTTATCTCCATCAAGAATACTAGAGGTGTCTAATAGGTCTTGTTTCCTGATCTTTCCTCTTCCATGGACCTCGCCTGCTTTTCCTCCCGTGCCACTGTGGAGAGCCATCACGTGCTCAGATAAAAGACAGTCCAACTCCTGTTTAAAAAAAAAAAAAATATATATATAATTATGAAGCACTGCGAAACATTATATGAACATCTCAAAAAATCTTAAGGAGGACACAGGTTTGACTTGAGTATTCAAGGCATTCCAGACATGTGTTGGTATATATTAATACCTTTTTATTGAAGTGGCACAGGTTCTAAAACCATAAATATAAGCCCTAACCCAGTTCAATGTGTTGCCAGTTATCCCAGTCTGCCTCTACTGCTGGCCCCTAGAGGAGTGACTGAGCTTTATTTGAATGTTAATTTATTGCCACATGTATGTGCATGCGCACTGATGATCCTCGAGTACCTGATTAGGGGTTCCAGTGTATTCCCCTGAACTTACTGTGGTGATAGGTGAAAACAGTAGTGTACTATGAAGTGACATTAGTGTTAACCCTAGGTCTCATTCTTTCTAGAACATTCATCTTTTTCTTGGACCTCTTATAATCCCAGTTTGATTGGTAACTTTACATGACATTAAACACAATCAGTATCTAAGTCCATGTACAGTAAGTTAAGATTACCTAAAATAATTATTTACTGATGATCTTGCATTTTACTGAAACTCTTTGTTTTGAGAGCTGTGTACCTTTGTTTCCAAAAATCAATTGAATGAATCAATTAAATATGCCAAAAGTAGAAGATAGAAGAAAAAGAGGTGATATGATAACTACGTACCAAATAGTAACAGGAATCGATAAAGTTGATAGGGAAGAATTCCCAAGACCTGGAACTTCAAGAACAAGAGGTCATAGATTTAAACTAATGACACTAAGATGCCGGAGAAGTATAAGAAAATTCACTTTCGCAAACAGAGTGGTAGACGGTTAGAACAAGTTAGGTGAGAAGGTGATAGAGGCCAAGACCGTCAGTAGTTTCAAAGTGTTATATGACAAAGAGTGCTGGGAAGACGGGACACCACAAGCGTAGCTCTCATCCTGTAACTACACTTAGGTAATTACATCTTGTGGTCTGGAGAGTGGACCATGGCTCCAGAAGCAATCAAGGGGCTAGCTTAGAATGAATAAACAAGTGCTAATTTTATTACGTATTGTATGATTTTTGCTACATTGCTCCCCTTTCTCAACAAGCTGGTGCCTCCCTATCTTATTAAGCTGGGAAACAAGGGTAAGGTTAATGATGATAAAATGTTGACTAGAAAGTTAAAGTAGCATGTTCTAATATATATGAGAATCAAAATACTGTTTTTGTCTTCAAAACAGTACATAGATGCACCAAACTATATGAAACTCAATAATACTATGTCACAACTTTCAACACAAAGATGGATGTTTACCTCATCAGGTTTATCCAAAAGTATGAAGACAAGGTCAAATCTTGAGAGAAGTGCACTGTTCATCTTCAGATTTTCTGAGACTGTCTTGGCCTTGTTATAGTGGCCACCAACAGGATTGGCAGCAGCAAGTATGGACGTTCTGGCGGGAAGCGAACATACAATTCCTGCCTTTGCTATACTAATACACTGTTGTTCCATGGCTTCTAGCAGTGCCTGAAATACAATGATATAAAGTTGTTGGCATTTGATTTGCTTTCAAATTGATACTGTTGTGTCTCATATTAATATCCAGTATTCAAATATTCAGGTACAGTACAATCAAAGTCCCAACTTATACAGACACCCTTTTATAATAGTTAATTTAATGTGCTTTATTTGAAGATGCTACACATTTTTCAACTATGACAGTCAGGCCTCAGAAGAGGACTGTGAGTCTTAAGACTCCTCGTTTGCATACAGTTAACTTACAGGCAGAATCTAGTATTTTATCACCAAGGATGTCTCTGAACTTCAGTTTTTTCTGCACCTTACCATTATACCATCAGCCTCCTTATATTTCAAATTATTTGAATTATTTGATTTCCAATATTGTTCCATATTTTGTCTTTTTGAGCTATCCTAATCTGTTGTTATCCTAGAGCAATATCCTACTGGCCAAGGACAAGATCACAAGCCTGGCAAGTTAACATTCCACACCACGTAGGTTCATCCAGCGAATAGGTTCAAATCCTCATCAAGGCCCTTGTGAATTTGTTCGTTGATAAATCACATTACTGTGATTTCTCTGTGCATTCCACACCAACCTAATGTGAAAACCTTTCAATCTATTCCACCTGGCTTGTACTGACGCTAGGGAGAGACTGAAGAATACTCATTCCAGCCATAGACTAGTGCTCATCACAAATCCAAAAAGCCTACCCAAGTCACAACTTAGCAATATGAGAGACCATTAAGATACTCCCTGACAAACTACAGACTTACTTGATGTTGATTGCTCATCTTATCAAACTCGTCAATACAACATGCTCCCTGGTCGGCCAAAACCAAGGCACCTCCCTCCAAAGCATAATCTCCGGAGCCTCCCTCTCGACACAGAGTGACTGTCAAGCCAGAAGTTGTGGTTGTGTTTCCACAAACATACACACCTAAAAATGTAAATTAAAATCCAGTATAATTTGTTCTACACAAATTCTAACAATCACTGCAGCTTTGATGCTGTTATTTATTTATTAACCATTAAAGCGTACAATGCTCTGAGCTCCAAGTCACCACCACCACCAAGTCATATCTGCAATTCTTAAAATATTTGAAACAAAATATTTTCATAAGTTTCTTCTTTGCAAATGGGTTCAAAACTGAACTTCTGTATATCCAAGGAAGTGCTATACAGTATACAGAAGTTCAAAGTAGTTACATTCTGATATATACGATACATATATACGAATATTCTGGTAGCATTGCTAGTTGAATATGTCCTTAGTTGTGTTTGCAGTAGGATAAGAGTAGGTGTGGTGTAGAGGTGGAGGCAGCGTCACTTCAAGCCATGCCACACCCCTTATTTAGATAAAAGTATTAGGAATTTTCCCTATAAATATAATTCAGATCTACCTCAGTATCTAGGGAGCTATAAATGGAGATATAAGATTAAAAGACCAACAGAGGTAGACCCCAAGGTGACTTTTGAAGATGACCCCAAGTCCCAGGGGCAGTACTTACAGGGCACCTAGGGAAGGTGACCCTAGGCACAAGCAGCCCAAGTACTTGGGAAATTACTCCTGGCTCGCGCACCACCAGAGAAAACTCACCCCACACCACGAGGCACAGAACAGAGGACAGAAATTAGGAGCCAGAGCCACAGCAACCAATGCCATTCACATCAGCCAAAGAACTGAAGGTGTGGGTTGCCGGCGCGAGGGGTCTGGGGCTTCCCCTTTCTTCCTCCCGGGAAGGGGGAAGCTGCACAGAAGGCGGCGCGGCAATGGTGACATCATGTTCGTTTGCTTGTTTTTCTTTGGGGAGTTCTGTCCACCTGTTTGACTTTTAGTAGTAGTTTCAACCAGAATAGGGGTTTGTTTTGGGATGCTTACCTTTCTGGGTGCCTGACCTGGTCAATGGCAGACATAGAATGCTCCAAATCACATATGCTATTCTATAGGCCATTGCTTTTCGTGCCTCTCTGAAGGGGCCAGGTTCTGGCTCGTGATCCCCTGTAGGCCTATGAACTCCATTCACATTGACTGATGCCAAAGTCTAATATACAGTATTACATATCAGCCTGGATAGCTCTGGGAAGCTGAAGGGGCTCCCCCCCTAAGAAAAATATTCATTGTCTTCCTTAACCCATTATTAACCTGGTGGGGGCAGTTGGAAAGATTCAAGCTGTGTTGGGAAGTGATTGTTGACCAGGCTTAAATGTTGATTGCTTATGTCCTGGCAAAAACCAGATATTGCTTAAAGAAATAACTAATCAACCTGTTCAGAGAGAAGCGTTTCTTCTGCACGCACTACATATAAGTTGTAAGAAAATCATGCTCAACAAGGAATATTGCAACAAATTAGTGCACTTACCTCTCGGTGCAACATTAGCACATGCCTGCAACATTTGGCTTTTCCCCAAACCTGGGTCGCCCACTACAAGAATGTGAGGGTCACCTCGTACAGGCACACGGTCATGACCACACTTGGTGCAACCCCCAAAAAGGCAGAGAATCAAACCAGCTTTAACAAGCTCATGTCCATATATTGCCGGGCAAAGGGATCCTACCAATAATTTGAAGAGATTTGGTTGTGCTTGGATCTCCTGTAAATTAAAACCTAAAATTAATTTAGAATTCTTTTAATACCCAGTAACATTATTATCTTGGAAAGTTGAAAAGTTGTTATTGTTTTTTTAACATGGATAACTCATTGTAACACTACTTGCTGGTATATTACATACTGTACTTTCAAAATACAGTACTGTAGTTCATCATTGGAAAACCACATTCCAACGTCAAGCCTAATGTCTGCATCATTTTTCAGACATTTTGGAAATCTCAGTCACTAGCGCAATAAGAAACAATGGTTAAACATTTCCCCAAATTACACAGTAATAGGCTGTCTTTATATAAATTCCCAAAAACTTACATTGATACATGTATGTGGTTACTCATATTCATACATTTGTGCTGATCAAAAATTCTGGGTTAAAAGTTGCAACTTTGTCATATATAAGAAATAGCTTCTCAAGAGATGACTGAAAACTTTGTCTTATTCTGACAATCCAATGTTTCCATGGAAATTTACCATTCTCAGAAATAATCACTCAACATTTCCTCATCCACCAAAATTTCTACACCTGCATCTGTACTGCATTATATAATGAGAATGACGTTCTCTAAAACGAATAAATAGTTTCCTTGACTTTGATAACTATCATAGTAATCAAGAAGTACACCATACCTGAATAGCATAATAGTCCTTAATGCTGAACTCGATGCCAACTGCTGATGCAGAATCATTGCCAGCCTTGCAATTGGTGACAGACGAGGCATCAACGTATAACTGGAACATGCATTTGTCTCCCTTGTTTCCTCGGCCTTCTTGGCTCTGGCTCACCTGAAGAAAGGAAAGTGCATTCGCCTACATTTAGTTTCCCCCTGCAAAATGAAGTGTATCAAGGATCACCGCTCCGATCTTGTCTCGTTCCTGTCCTTGACAAGGGGAATCACGACGCCTTTGACAGTGATGAGGTTATTAGTGGAATTATTAAACATTATGTTTTATGATCCATTAATCTTAATCAGCATATATTGTACTGTATATATACTACAAATACATCTCCTGAGATTTAATATGAAATAATGAGGAAAACTTTTCCCCTCAAAATACTAATTTGTTTTAAAATTTCACCAAATGTACTTTTTTATATGCTGATTAAGGATAACAGGTTAAACAAATTATATTCTAATAATTCAATGTACTGAATTATGCCTTTACAGTACTGCATATAGAGCCAGTTTCTATTACAGCATAACCTTAATTATGATATAAGCACAGCCTCTTGTATGTCTTGAAGATGACAGGTATCACTATGGGGGAGTGATATCGAGCTCTCTATACCCTGTCTCCTACCCACTTATACCACGAGTGCTAGATTACATCTCTGAACATTACAGCCATCATCATATTTCTTCTTAAAGCTGTGAATGTAATTGCCTTCAACAACTCTTCCTTCAGTGCATTCCACTTCCCAACCGATACAGGGAATACAGGGAATGGAAACATTCTCATATCTCAAAGACTCAATTATGTGTTCAGAGTCTAGCAATGTCCCCTTGTCCTGGTCTCTTGTATTATGTATACATTTTTCCTTCCCAGTTCATTTTGCTTCCTCCCTGTTCTCCTCTGACATACCCTGGCCAATGTACATCTCACATTATTCCCTCCAATACTGTACTGCAATTTCCTCTTTTCTCCAGGTATATACCTTATTAGAGTACTGTTATGAAAAATCACCTTCACTAATCAATTGTTTTCATTCTCAATCCTCCCTATAGAAAAAAAAGTATTTCCCTGTGGAAATACTTGGACGGTCAGGGATGGAACGGTGATCTGCATGATGCGAGACTGTCGCTCTACCATCCAGCTCAAGTGGTTGGGCACCATTGCTTTCCTCCGTCCCATCCCAAATCCTTATCCTGACCCTCTTCCAAGTGCTATACAGTATAGTCATAATGGCTTGGCGCTTTCCCTGATATTTTCCTTCCCTTCCCTTCCCTCCTCTGTTTGCCTTTCTTACCAGACACTGTTGAGGATTCCTGTCAGTTTTCCAGTCTCCTCACTTCTTCAAATTAATGATGAGAACATTTGAAATGGTCCTTGTCACGGTGGGGAAGGGGGGGGGGGGGGGAACTAGATCCTTGTCATAGTGAGGGACAAGGTTCTTGCCACAGGGAAGGATAAGGTCTGAGTCACAGGGGAGGATAAGGTCTGTGTCACAGGGGAGGATAACGGTCCTTGTCACAGGGAAGGATAAGGTCTGAGTCACAGGGGAGGATTAGGTCTGTGTCACAGGGGGAGGATAACGCCCTTGCCACAAGGAAGGATAAGGTTCTTGCCACAGGGGAGGATAAGTTCCTTGCCACAGGGGGATAAGGTCTGTGTCACAGGGGGAGGATAACGTCCTTGCCACAAGGAAGGATAAGGTCCTTGCCACAGGGGAGGATAAGGTCCTTGCCACAGGGGGGATAAGGTCTGTGTCACAGGGGGAGGATAACGTCCTTGCCACAAGGAAGGATAAGGTCCTTGCCACAGGGGGGGAGATATGGTCTGTGTTACAGGGGAGGATAAGGTCCTTGCCACAGGGGGGGGATAAGGTCTGTGTCACAGGGGGAGGATAACGTCCTTGCCACAAGGAAGGATAACGTCCTTGCCACAAGGAAGGATAAGGTCCTTGCCACAGGGAAGGACTAAGGTCCTTGCCACAGGGGGGGGTAAGGTCTGTGTCACAGGGGAGGATAAGGTCCTTACCACAGGGAAGGATAAGGTTGATGGCTGGCAAGTGATGGATTCCTGTGTGGATGACATATGCTCTGGCTCCGGATGTATCCAGGGAGAGGACGACAAGGGAGTCTCTCAAAATCAAAAAGTTACCAATCACAAAATCAAAGTCACAGTTACAAAAGTAATCAAAGTTATATTACAAAATCAAAATGACCTAATGTGGGGGTACATAATTTAACAGTGAGCAAAATGCTACAACTAACCTTGACAATTCCAGTAATAGTGATCATATCCCCTGGAACACACGAGTCGACAAGATCTTCTCGAACTTCACATTCAATTGTGCGTGGAACACGACCTCCCTCTCTCTATAAAGAATAAATGTAGATTATTTCCAAGGCAACATTTTGGAATACTTCAGGCTTATCTACATTTCCTGTTGACCTTTTCAAATGTAAAGGGACAGGGGCTGGAATAGCTTATGGGGATGAATGGGGTGTCATCACTAAACAAGGTCAATGCTATACATGTCCAAATGAGTTCAAGAAGAGTATAAGTATCAACCAGAAGCCCGAAGGCACCTGCCAACAGAACATGATGGGTTCCAGGAAAGTGCCATATGAATGCATGCTGGGCTCAAGGAAGGTGCCATATGAATGCATCCTGGGCTCAAGGAAGGTGCCATATGAATGCATCCTGGGCTCAAGGAAGGTGCCATATGAATGCATCCTGGGCTCAAGAAAAGTGCCATATGAATGCATCCTGGGCTCCAGAAAAGTGCCATATGAATGCATCCTGGGCTCAAGGAAGGTGCCATATGAATGCATCCTGGGCTCAAGGAAAGTGCCATATGAATGCATCCTGGGCTCAAGGAAGGTGCCATATGAATGCATCCTGGGCTCAAGGAAGGTGCCATAAGAATGTAACACAATAAATTAACTTTCTTTGGAGATATTGGGTACCCATCTTTACTTAATCCATGACAGTAATTCCACAGACAACCAGGACTAGCCTGCTACCTAATACGATTAAATTTCATCACTTGATTCAATGAGTTAGTCACTTGACATGTTATCATATGTGTGTAGCTATGTTTCTGGTGAAGTCTTACCTGATCATCACTAATAATCTCTTGTATTCTGAAATGCTGCCAATCCACTGTGTGTGTCAGCTTGTGCGAGCGTTCTGGCAAAAATGATCTCGTTCTGCAATCTTGAACATTGCAAGATGTAGGCACAGTGTATCGGCCCTCAGTCTGGTTAACTCCCTGTACGCTGCCACATCCCATGCAGGTAAAAGCCAGTCTGGTACATAATGGCTTAATGCTGCTCACACGTACAACTGTACCTTTGACACTCACAAGTCTGCCTGAAATAAAATGGCTTAAACTCGCATGCTATCAGTGAAAAAAATGGCAGCACATTTAATCTTGTTATTATCTTCAGGGCCTGACAGCTGAATGAACAGCGCTTGGGATTCGTAGTCCAGGTTTGTTTCCCAGTGGAGGCATAAACAAATGGGCAGTTTCTTTCACCCTGTTCACCCAGCAGTAAATAGGTACCTAGTAGTCAGACAGCTGCTATGGACTGCTTCCTAGGGGTGTAATTACCTAAGTGTAATTACCTAAGTGTAGTTACAGGATGAAAGCTATGCTCGTGGTGTCCCATCTACCCAGCACTCTTTGTCATATAACGCTTTGAAACTACTGACGGTTTTGGTCTCCACCACCTTCTCACCTAACTTGTTCCAACCGTCTACCACTGTTTACAAAAGTGAATTTTCAATTATTTCTCCGACAGGTTTGTTTCGTTAGTTTAAATCTATCACTTGTTCTTGAAGTTCTGGGTCTCAGGAATTCTTCCCTATCAATTTTATCGATTCTTGTCACTATTTTGTACATACTGTAGTGATCATATCTCCTCTTTTTCTTCTATCATCTAGTTTTGGCATATTTAATGCCTCTAACCTCTCCTCGTAGCTCTTGTCCTTCAGTTCTGAGAGCCACTTAGTGGCATGTCTTTGCACCTTTTCCAGTTTGTTGATGTCTTTCTTAAGATATGGGCACCACACAACCACTGCATATTCCAGCGTTGGTCTAACAAAAGTCGTGAACAATTTCTTTAGTATTTCTCCATCCATGTATTTAAAAGCAATTCTGAAGTTAGAAAGTGTAGCATAGGCTCCTCGCACAATGTTCTTAATGTGGTCCTCAGGTGATAGTTTTCTACCTAGAACCATCCCTAGATCCCTTTCTTTGTCAGAATTCTTTAAAGATTTCTCACATAATTTATAGGTTGTGTGGGGTCTATGTTCTCCAATTCCACATTCCATAACATGGCATTTATTCATGTTAAATGACATTTGCCAAGTGGTGCTCCATATACTTATTTTGTCCAGGTCTTCTTGAAGGGCATGACAATCCTCTAGGTTTCTTATCTTCCCTATTATCTTAGCATCCTCAGCAAACATGTTCATATAATTCTGCATTCCATCTGGTAGATCGTTTATGTAGACAATGAACATTACCGGTGCAAGAACTGAACCCTGTGGTACTCCACTTGAGACATTCCTCCAGTCCGATACATTGCTTCTGATTACTGCCCTCATTTTTCTATCAGTCATTTTCTATCAGAAAATTTTTCATCCATGTTAGAAGTTTACCTGTCACCTCTTCAATATTTTCCAGTTTCCAGAACAACCTCTTATGTGGAACTCTGTCGAAAGCCTTTTTTAAGTCCAGATAGATGTATATATGTATGTATGTATAAGTATCCACTAGGAAAAATGAAACAAAAATTCCTAGAAACCCATTAACAAGGAAATACATTTAATACTGTACAGGGTGATTAACCGAATCACGTTTTATGTTATTATTTTTGCATATGTATGTACTGTATTGTATATACTGTATGTTGTTACGGTAATCTGCTTAGGCAGTAGATCCTGCCTGTTCCCTATACTGCCTATTCACCAACGTATCTACATGCTCCAACATAAGGAATCAACATCACCGACAACAACAATATGTGCTCAAAACGTATTGGGTGTTAAGACAGCCCCCTCCTCACTCCACCTTATAGTACCCGAGACTCCTGAACACCTGCTGTCTCGAAAGGGACCAGATGCAACTCACTAACGACCATTCTCTTGCTGGCCAATGGTTACCTATAAAATTCGTGCCATCTCTGACGTCATTCACCCATATATATACAGTTTGCTGGCGTCCAGTCATCAGAATACACTTCGTGCTCTCAGCAGTACCATCTACTCTTGCCTCTCCAGGAGACAGTAGATGCGTACCGCTTTTTACACTTCGTGCTCTCAGCAGTACCATCTACTCTTGCCTCTCCAGGAGACAGTAGATGCGTACCGCTTTTGTATAAAGTCATTGCACCCCTTTTGATTAACGTAAAATCTCACCTGTATTTATATTTCTTTTTGATCTTGTGTAAAGCCAAGTGTCTAAGGGGTTTTGTTTATCATTAATTATTACTCATTATTTTGTGTTATTAGTCATTTTCGTTACATTAAATGTTTGAAGTTTTTATTCTCTTTGGTTTTTACCTGCAACTCTCACACCATAGAGGTCATAAACAGTTTTATTTTCTTTGTTTTACTTTTTTTTTATATTAATGTGCGATTGGCACACCAGCCAGAATAGCCACTGCTCTATTTCAGATTCTCGTCACAATGTGTATGCAGTACAGTATATTTATATTTATTTTTTAAGAATTTACAGTACTTAAAACTATGTCATAGCACACAAAATAAAAATGTCTCGGGGTGTATCAACTGTCACTTACTGCAAGTTAAATTCCTTTCCTGATAAGTGGACATCCACAAGCAATGGAGTCAGGGATGAAAGTGAAGTGAAATTGTGTGCTACCTTCTGTTTACACAGCTAATGTTGTCACCAGGTGCTGTCGCCTAACAAAGGAGGAGGCCTGGTCGAGGACCGGGCCATGGGGACGCTAAGCCTCGAAATCATCTCAAGTTAATCTCTCAAGATAACCAGGTGTGGGTAGTGACCAAATGGACTGAGACTTCTCCAGTATATCTTCCCCTAAACTGGCCTGATTAGGACAGCTTGAAAAAAGTCCCAGCTCTGTCAGGGATGAGATAGTTGCATTGAACCTGGCTAGTGTGCCCCTAGGGTCATGGGACAAGTGAACAGGTGGTCCAAATACACATATAGCATTTAAGAGTACAACAATATACCATACATATGAAAAATATTAGATATCAATAAAAAGCAACTCAGATAAATAAATGTATTATACCTATCACTTTAAATCAATGGAAATATTAAAAACAGCTAATATGAATATTACAGCTAAAATCTGAATACTGTACTCTATAGTAGGCCTTATGTACACTTAAATGGAGTGATAAAATCTTTAATAACCAACTGGCAGACATACTGTACATTAGACTTCTCACCATAGCAGTTGGCTTTAAGATTCTTGAGCTTCGTCAACTTAGTCTGATTAACAAGTCGAGCATGAATTAAAGGTAGATTAGCCTCTGGAAGAAGGTCATCTAAAGCTGTATTATCTGCTACCTCTGACCCTTCTGCTAATACTTCTGCTGCTTCACGTTTCAGTTCAGTTTCAACTTCTTCTGTTAGAAGCTGAAATAAACGATAATGTTTGTTAAATTTAATTTGTTACAATTCATTACAATTAGAGGTGCATCAAATATCGGTGGCAACTCCTTATTTTTGCAGTAATATATAGGTATCTGTCAAGTGTAAGCCAATACTTCAGATACTTTAGGGGAGGAAGGGGGGGGGGGGGGGAGATTCTAATGTAGATACCTGTATAACAGTATAATGAGCTTGAGAACCTGTATACCAACTGATTGAAGGTCGAGAGGTAGGACCAAAGAGCTGAAGCTCAACCCTTGTAGGCCCAATTAAGAAAGTACTCCTGCCCCAACCAATCTTACACCTCAGACAATCACATCCCGCTCCCACACTCGTGCTCTTATCAGTCTTGTGCCCTCCTGCTCAACATTACCTAATTGTGCTTGCAGGGGTCGAGCTTCCACTTTTTGGCCTCGTCTTTTAACCTAAGCTTCTTTCTTTTTCTTTTCCTTGTTTTTTCTTACGGCCCCTGTCTTATTCCTATTACTATCCCCTTTATTACACCTTAACTTTCGTACCTTTTGCCTTGCTTTTTCTTCCTCTAAGATTTTCTTCTCCTCACCTCTCTCTTGCCTATTTATTGCCTTTGCCTCCTTCCCTCATTGCAATTGACTTGAGAATGGTCCAGGACGAACTGAAACGTCGTCGTCCCTTCACTTTCTAGTGTGGTTTGGTCAAAGCTATTCTTTTGGGAGTCATATATCATTCAGTTGGTCTAGCACATGTCCGTCAATTCTGATTACAGTAGTTTTGTCTGGTTCAAATTTAAATTAGACACTTCCTGTGTATTAATATTAAGTTAACTGATTAAACTTTTTTATAAATCAACACTTATAAGTGAAGCCTTCGACTATAAAAGATAATGCAACTCCCTTTGAATATCCAATAAATGACATTAGCACTTGACAATAAATGACAATCTATAAATGATGATGAGAATCCCCCCTTTTGTTCTGCCTGCTTAATGTACATGAGAATAACACAACCCAGTAGGTCACTACAGATATCTTGGAGACACCTGTCTGAGGAAGGTCAGCCTCTGTGACGTCCTTACCTCGATGAGTTGACCTTAGCGTGTGTGCTGCTGTTCTGGCAAATCTAAACCTTTATTGCATAATTTCCGAGAGTGGTCTGCCCTAGGCAACATTGCATGTGGAAGTACTGTAATGTAGTCTTAAAATAGTAGAATCCTACACTTAATGAGCTATGGCAAGAAAAAGGTCTAAGCCTGCTAACAGGAATGGAATGGAATGGAATGGAATGGAACTATCAGGAGGAAGCCCCAAGCCATTACGACTATACTGTATAGCACTTGGAAGGGGTCAGGATAAGGATTTGGGATGGGACGGGGGAAAAGAATGGTGCACAACCACTTGGACGGTCGGGAATTGAACACCGACCTGCATGAAGCAAGACTGTTGCTCTACCATCCAACCCAAGTGGTTGCCCAAACCCATACCAACCTGTGTACACACACAAAAAAAAACATAGGGAGCAACTGAGGGTCCCAATCAGAAATATTTAAGGAGTACTATATGAGCTCTGTTATCCAAAGCCCATTGAAACTGATATTTGGGTTATCCTGCCAAAATCGCATTTGCATAATTTTCTGGCAAAACTTTGTCACATCTGTATACAAATCCAAATATCCAAGGATTTGGCTGGATAACGCAGACTAGCAGTGTATAAATTAAATCCAAATAATTTTCTGCTAAACTTCACCACACCCCAATCTGGAAAACCAAGGATTTTAACAGATAACAGAACGGCATCAGGCCATACCCTATTAATCCCATACAGCAGTGGCTCAAGGCGTGGAGTATGGAAGGTGTTGGGTGGGTAGTGTCAGGGGATAGGGGATAAGGGGGATAGTCGGGAAGAACTATCTGACAGATGAGAGGCATGTGGAGAGGCCTATGATTACTGCATAACCTTATTACTGCATTAGTCCATATTAAAACAATTCATTATAGTAAAAAATAAAGAAATATTATCTAATAGTATAACAAATATTTTTTTTTTTAAACTGTGTGTATAGACTGAAGAATATAGTTTCCTGTTAAAATTAAGTGATTTTTTTCTGCTAGGCAGCCTACATAACATGTCATCCTTCCTGCCTGCCTGCCTGCCCCAACTAGACCTGTCCAGGCCCGGCCAAGCTAAACAAGCCATGTGCTTTCTACCTTTGCGTTATACCACATACCTTCACGTTATACCATAGTGCTGCACCATTAGTGATAAGTTTTCTTAAATAACTTTTTTTGGGGGGGTTTCATAGTAATTTTAATAACTTGTTGGCAAGACTATGTCTAGTATCAACAGCAATTTTCCTGGAGGTGTTAAGAGGAAGAAGGTTGTGCTAACCATTAAAGAAAAGTCGTGTCATTGAACTTTGTGGAAATGGCCGGTTGGAAGTGAGTATTGCAAAGAATTTTGGTATAGGCATAAGTACTGTCTCTGATATAAGGAAACAAAAATTAGTACTGTACATGAAACACAGCAATCAGTGAGAGTACAAGCACTAGCAGAGGGTACAATAGAAAGACTTTTGAAGTTTGCACAGCATGTACAGTTGGATGAGGTTTGATTACCTCATGAGGAGATTACAAGTGGTTTGCACAGCACCGCACAGTTGGTGTGAATTTGCAGTTCAGAGAAAAGAAATGCTGCAAGCAGGTTTGCAGCCAGTTTTGGAATACAGGATTTCAGGGCAAGTGATGGGAGGATTTCAGGGAAAGTGATGGTTGGATTGCGAAGAGGGGGAAAATGAAGCCTCACCTGAAAGTCAAGAGCCTTTAATCAGTGATGCTTTAGCAGCTGCCAGTCAAAACTGACCTTAACAAACTCATGTGCAGAAATTTTAGTGTTGTGTTAGGTTATATAAATGTTCAAGAACCACATGTTTCAAAATCTACAATATCAATCAAGAAGGCAAACTGCAACAAGTTAAGTTGAAGTTTTGTTTCAAATTTTATATTTTAATTATAGTGTGTGTGTGGAAATTTGAATTAATGGTATGTTGGTTGTGGTACAAAAAATTGCGAATACGTTTTTGGACTTTCCCTGGTAAGAATTCCTGCTTATCCAAATGTCCGGCTAATCTGGTGAGGGGGGTCCGTCCATATAGTCTGGATAAATGAGAGTAGTCAGTACTGTGCATATTCTCACCTGATGCATTGCAAGACCAAGGCAACTTATTATTCTGTCTGGAGCAGTGATTACTAAGTCTGATATTTCAGGTATTTTCTTCTTGATCATCTCATCAGCCAAAAGCATTTCAAGATTCACAGTAAAAGCACGACGTTCCTCAATATCCTCACGCTGCATTGAAGGCCGAATCTGATGGAAATACTTTTCAAAGGCTTTAACGAAGGTTACAGCTTCAGATCCCTCACTATAACCTGTTCAATGCAAACAAAACACTAATATAGTCTTCATTTGTATCTTAACAATTTAAAAATCTTTCCATCCACATTTTATTAATAATGGATTTAAAATATAGGGTGTTGAGCGCAGTGAAACAGTACTTTCCGAATTGATCCCTCAGATACGTCTTGAGCCATGAGCCATTTGAATCATCAGGAAAAATTTTCACTACACTAGCAACATAGATCTTTCTGCCTGGCTTCATAAATTATAATCTTTACAATTTTGACAAGCAATGTCAAGTATAGGTCAAGCCATCACCAACTGACCAACTCTCTACAACACAGAGAGCAATACCCTCAATCCTTACAAGCACTTATTAGCACAGCAATCTACAGTGCAACCTCAATTCAATGAACGATGCGGGACCAACCCCAATTCATTGCAGTGAGGGATTCATTGCAATTGGGAACAATTGGGGATGCTTCCTGGATATACTTCCCATGCCTTATGGGCTCACTTGGAAAAAATTTCATTTCAACATATAATAGACAACTTCTAAGTGAACACGTCTGCAAAAAAATGTAATCATGTATAACTTATTTCTCACAACCCGAGTCTCAAACCTCATTTTCAAACGGTAGCAGGGCCACACCTGAGGGAATGAAAACAAACCATAGAATTTGGTTCTAAATATTCTCAATAACTTCACCAAGGCTCCAACTACTCCTTGCAATGTTAATTCCACCTACAAAAATCATCAAAAACGTGATTGGAGCCATATTCGGAGAGTTATCATTCATACCCTAATATTTCACACACACTCTATGAGCTGATTTCACCAAGCAAAATTTTATTTCCAGTCTGTCATATGAAGGACAACTACCAAGAGAACCTGTCTGCAAAGAGATTTAACTACCCATGCTCTAGCCTTGAAATCTCAGTTTCAAAGGAAAAAGGATCTATATTAGTGAATGAAAACTGGAGAATCTCAAAATTAAAATGAACTACTGTATAGAATTTGGTTTTAAATATGCTCAATGACTTTTCTAAGGCCCCTTACTATTCTGTATTGTGCCCATCTAAGAAAATTATTAAAAACATGACTGGAAGCGTGTTACGAGTTACCATTCACCCAACAAAAAATTCCAAAATGCCTAACAAAAATATTCTAAAACACCCTTCTTGAGGTTATCCCGAGATGATTTCGGGGCTTAGCATCCCCGTGGCCCAGTCCTCGACCAGGCCTCCTTTTTGTTACACACCCCCCAAGAAGCAGCCCGTAGCAGCTCTCTAACTCCCAGGTACCTATTTATTACTAGGTGAACAGGGATATCAGAGTGAAAGAAACTCTGCCCATTTGTTTCTGCCTCCACAGGGTATCGAACCAGAAACCTCAGGACTATGAATCCGAAGCGCTGTCCACTCAGCTGTCAGGTCCCTGAGAAAAATGTTCCAAAATGACTAAGAAAAATATTCCAAAACGCCCAAGAAAAATATTCCAAAATGCCAAAGAAAAATATTCCAAAACGCCAAAGAAAAATATTCCAAAACGGCATCAAAAAAATTCCAAAACAGCAACTAAAAAATTTCAAACGCACAACTGGAGGTTTACCAAATCAAGGTTCCAATGTACTGCAACCTTCTGCCACTACCAAGTGGCAGCATCTATCTAGTAAACAAGCTCAAAGGAAGTCAACTCTGCACGAAGCCTAGACTACTTAAACTAGATCAGGGAATAGTGTACAAAAAGTGTCCGAGTGTAAGCATCTGAGGGATCAGCTCAAATCATTAATAAGCATTTTGTTAGCATGACTAATTTACAGTTCTGACATACTGTACCCTGTATTGTCAACTCTTACACCACACCTGTGCATGACAGTATCATAACATGAAATTGTGAGGAATGAGCTGTAATTTTCTAGGCATGAAAGCTATGTTAACATATTGTACAGTATCTTCTGTTAAAAACAACTCATGCCAGTCAAAATAGAATTTTGGTTTTTATTTATATAAAAAACATACAATTACTGTATAATACATGTACAGTATATGAAATATGAGTGAATCGTGTAGCAAGTTAATTGACTTTTCAGGGTGTGGATGCAACCATGTATATACAGGATCCTGTGAAAACAGTAGAATATAAGAATTATATAGTGCTGTACTAGGTGAATCCCAATACAGTTGACCCTAGCCCAAAAATGATCTGGTGGCAAGAACGAGATGAAATTGTGATTTTTAAATACTGTACACACATTACACATCAACTACAGTACTAACCTTCATTCATGTAAAGTTGCCAACCCTTGTATGGTGTGGGTGTCTGTGGCAGCAGTGAGGTGATCCGCTGTTGTGATGTTCCAAGTCTCGACACATCGGCACACTGAGAACTCTGAGACGATATCCTACACATGTTTGGTGGTGGCATCATACCTCCACCTGTGAATAAATGAAGAGTATCTATTTGATTAATGTTATTAGCTCATTAACAAAGATACCAGTCTACTCTTTACTGTTCTACTACTTAGTGTTCAAAATTCCATAAAATTCTAACTAATCTCCCTACATTGTACAAGTACACACAACTTTAATGAAAAAATTTAAATGCACTTCATATATACACATTAACATTTAAGAATTTTCAGTACAGTACTGTTATATTAATAATGATATATACAAGTATTGTTCAAAATAATATTATATTTTCATTGAGACCAATTTCTATTGCCTGTCCAGGAATTGATTATTGTAAAGAAAAAACCAGCGATGAACGTAATTAAACGCCATTTCTGGGTGAGCCCTGAAGGCTTCCCGGAGCTATACTGGGCTGATATGCATATATTAGACTGTGGTATCAGTCAATTCAATTGGAGTTCTAGCCTACCAGGGAACCACGAGCCAGAACCTGGCCCCATCAGAGGCACGAGGAGCAATGGCCTATAGAAACCCCCATGTGGTTGGAAGCATTCTATGTCTGCCATCTACCAGGTTAGGCACCTAGAAAGGTAGGCACCCCAAAACAGACTCCACCTGGTTAAAAATTGCTACCGAAAATCGAACTATCAAGCAGAACTCCACAATCCGAAAACAGGCAAACAAGCATGACGTCACAAATGCCGCTGCGATGCTGTCTGCGCAGCTTTCCCACCCTCCCTGGGAGGGGGAAAGGGGGAGCCCCAGACCCCTTGTGCGGGCTACCTAACCTCAGTTCAGAGGCTGAATATCAAAATGCGAAAACTGTTGACCGAAGGGAGGGAGGGTTGCTGGGGAGCCTCCGGGACTCACCCAAAAAATAATGTTTCATTACATTCAACACTGGTTTTTTGTGGAGAGCCCATCTGGCTCCCTGGAGCTGCCTAATCACAGAAAAAGTAAAGAGGGATTTACCCGGGAGGCGGCTGCCACTCGCATCTCAACTGGAAGTCAAGACAACTGGCTGCAACCTGCATCCGAAAGCGACACACGTCCAACTAGGGCCAGGAACATTAACTAGGTAACGGGTGCCCAGGACGCTCTTCGACCTCCAAAATCCTCGCACCTGATTGTCAGCGTAAGAGATATTACCAAAAATGGCAGCTAAAGCAGCAAATTTGCAAACGTCATGGGCACGAGGATAGACCGCAGGCTAACCGGACCGAATAACCCTGCGGACGACTTGGGAGACCCGAGCCCTGGAACAAGGAAGAAGAGAAACCGGGTCAACCCTAAGAGAGTCCCCGGTCACAGAGGTCGTGGTGCGCAAATAATGGTGTAGAGCCCCAACCGGACACAACACATGATGCACCCCTGGCCGAACCAACCAAGCATCAACCACCCAAGGACTCCTCCACAAAGCCGCCATCTTGTTCTTCGCCAGAATATGAGACGGTTGCAACCGAACAAACCTACCACCAGGACTGAAAGAGCAAAAACCCCTGCGCCGGAGGAGAGCATGAAGCTTCCCGACCCGACCTCCAGAGGCCAAGGCCAACAAGAAAAAAGCCTTGTCAAAACAATCCTGAACTGAAGGGGCCACCACAAACCTAGGAGGAGAAAGAGAGCATCCGGTCCAATGACCAGGATGGCTCAGGTAGCACATGAGCAGGCCAGAGGTGAAACAACGTATGAGACAGCTTGCGAAACAACGTATGAGAGCTTGCAAAACAGGGCTGAAATGACATCCACCCCATATGCAAGCAGGAGCGACTCCACCAGTGCCGAACAATACGAGGTGACGGTATTCAGCATAAGATGACAGTACTGAAACACTGAAGGAAGAAATGACAAGACAACCTGATCATAAACCAAAGACAATCTACGAAAAGACAAAAAGTAATGAAAGGACTGCCAGGAGACTTCATACTGCCGCCAAAACAAAACTTGCAGCAGGGACACCATCAAAGAAGCCACCTGATCACCATACAAATGGTGATAAACCCACATCAGAAAGACCAGACGTAAAGATCAGAGGAGAAGATCGAACCAGCCACGTATGGTTTGTGGTGGCATGGGCGAGGCGTGCTTCAGTTTATGAATTTTCAGTTTATGAACCATCTCTGGGAACGGATTAAATTCGTAAACGAAGGTACCATTGTACATAGAATTATAACTGTATTCCTTTTGATAGATCGTTCATATTAACAATTAACATTACTGGTGCCAAAACTAAGCCATGTGGTACTCCACCAGTAACATGATGTGGGACTACATGTGCATATCAACCTTGGCCCGATAACTACATTGACTCGAAACTCGGATAAGACCCATACATATAGCCAACTGAATCATCAGTACAAGTTTGTCTCCATTGCCTTGGAGACTCATGGTGCCTGGGGTAAAAACTGCCAAGATTTTACTGAAGGATCTGGGGTGTAGGCTCAATAAAACAATGAGACTCAAGAGTTTCCAACTACTTTTTCAATGTTTCAGTGCGGCAAAACAAAAAGAAACTGGACACTACATTTATGGTTACTTGGCAGCCAAGAAGCTTGATGAGATCTCCAACCTGTGACTTATAATAATAATAATAATGATATTATTATTATTAATAATAATAATAATAATAATGAACAAATAGCACCATGTCGTGGTACAGTTGATTACAGCGCATCTGGGAACACTCAGTGCATAGGTTCGAACCCTCATCAAGGCTCCTGTGGATTTTTTCTTTTATATATCACGTTAAATGTGATTTCTCTGTTTAATAATACAGTAGTAATGTTCATTCAGGTAAAAGTACATACATAAAAGGACAGAGACAGACAGACGGACAGACTGTTAATGCAAAGCTTCCTACCTCGACTGTTTTTGTTGGTTCCTCTCCAACTTCCTCCTGCCCTGCCTCTCCAACCACCACCACCTCCTCCTCTCCATCCTCCTCCTCCTCCTCTCCATCCTCCTCCTCTTCCTCTCCATCCTCCACTTCCTCTTCCCCTCCAGCCCCGGCCAGAGCCACCACCTCTACCGCCACCTCCAGTGCTGTTCGTTGACATAGTTGACTTGCATTAAATAGTTACCATTTATTCATACTGTAACTCTGGAAAACAGGAAATATAATTCAAAATTCAAGTGTCAAAGAAATTACTGTACTTAATATTAACATGATGAAGTGTGCTTTAGCAATAGTATGTTTCTTTTGTATTAAAACTAATTTAATAAAACTGTTGATTTTCTTAATTTTGCTTATTATAAAAATATAACAATAAATATACAAGTGCAAACTATGATACAATAAACTAATCATGATTTACAAAAACTTTATTTACATACATCATATTAGAATGTTAACTTTTCAAGTCATCATGATGTTTGAGTTAGAATAGTGCAATAATATTGGGGAAAAGAAATAAAATTATGATACACTTTACGTTTATAGTGCTCCACTGTCCAAGTGATATTGCATGCATTCCATGCTCATAAAACATCAGTGGCGCCAATACTATTAATTTTCTGGTTTTAAATCTAACAGTTAGCTTTTAATTGACTAAAACACAAAATTAAGAAAAAATTTCCTCTTAAAAATGAGAACACCCAGTGACCCCAGACAATAAGTGTGTCGGGTGTCCAGTTGGTAGCCAAACAAGTCGAAGCCAAACGGCAAAAGTATGAAAGCCCCCAATTCGCTAAACTCATATATAGAAAATTCACCGACATCTTCCAGCGACCCCCCAGCCAGCCGCCTAGAATCCCCGTGGCCACACCAGTAGCCTATCAGGACCCACCAACTTTTGGCACCTCTTAGCCAAGCCGACGTCTGACACCAACTCTCAGCCCGAATAACCAGCTAGAAAATGGAAACAAAAAACATGTATCAACTTCATTGTGACCCCCAAGCAATAAGCGCGCCAGGCGTCTAAAGCAAGCAATTGAAGAGGAATACCAGACGGTAGTATCGTGACCCAAAAAGCAAGAAGTATGTTCCGTTAACCAGCAGAGCAGGTGTACAGACGTCTACTTGTCGACAATGTTAAACCAGGAGTCCCTGTGCTCCCTATTTGGTGGAGGTAAACAAACCAGTCGTCTTGTAAACAAACTTTGGCGCGTTTCTTTACAATCCGCATTGAATTTCTGTACTAAAAGAACGCCACACCAATTGACCGGGTTACATATCCGCTACATATATAAATAAATAAGACAACATACACAATAAATAGTAATTAAAAAACTAAATATAAAACTTTATAAATAAAAAATATATAACACAAATTTTGTGGAGGCGTTTCCAATTATATCACTGAACGTTCACAAATGTATTCCTAAAAAATTTTTTTTTTTTTTTAGATATACAAGATTGTTACATTCTTGTACAGCTTGTTATTTTTTTTTTGAGATATATACAAGAGTTGTTACATTCTTGTACAGCCACTAGTACGCGTAGCGTTTCGGGCAGGTCCCTGGAATACGATCCCCGCCGCAAAGAATCGTTTTTTCATCCAAGTACACATTTTACTGTTGCGTTAAACAGAGGCTACAGTTAAGGAATTGCGCCCAGTAAATCCTCCCCGGCCAGGATACGAACCCATGACAGCGCTCGCGGAACGCCAGGCGAGTGTCTTACCACTTGTGTATTGTGTATATTGTTTATATATTATTTTTATTTGTATTTATTTATATACAAGACGTACATTGTGTTTGTGGAGAGACATCTGCCGTCACGCAGGGTGCAGTCGCACCTCCACAGATCTCCAGTATCAGCTCTTGATGATGGTAATGGCTCAAAAGGGCTATTCGTGCCCGTGACACCTTTTGGGTGGCTTAATCTTCATCAATCAATCTGTGTTTGTGAGAGTACATTACATGCTTACACAGCCACTGTTCATGTTTATATTTGCCTATGTTGTAAGATTCATATTTAATCAGCTGATTCAACCATGAAGACGAACGGAGTGGACATAATGGAAATATGCTAATGTCACCTCTATCTTAAAAAAAAGGCAGAAAGAGCTTGGGAGGAAACTACTGTCCGATCAGCCTGACCTTGCATATCTGCAGGCTCATGGAGAGACTCATTCACCATCCCACAGTGCACAATCTATTAAAATCAACGCAAACATTGCTTGAGAGAACCCGTTCCAAATGTGAGTCCAAATTTGGAAAGTGATTACTGATGAAATGATGTCTTTGAGATTGGCATAATCAGCTTATAAGGTTGCTGATGGCTGAACGTCTTGTGTTGTGGCTCTCAACATCTGGTTATCCACGAAGTTGGGTATGATGGGGAATCTAGAGAGCCTTAGTCTTGTACATAACAGTAGTAGTAGTGATTGATGAAGATTAAGCAACCCAAGAGGTGGCACGAATGCCACCTCAATCAGTGTTAATATATGGTTGTCCAATAAAAAAAAATCAGTTCAAGTTTAGTTACTTTATTATGCGCCCCATATACACCATGTGGGCTGTAGTGGAAGAGATTGCAGAGGCACATTAATATGGGCTCAGGAACTTCAAATATATTTAGCTAAACAAGTTAGTCTTATAAACTAAGTATAGTTTAATGTATATATCAACTTTAAACATATAATGGGTTCAAGAACTGAACCACTGCACTCTGCCTGCTCAATAGTTCATGAGCATGTAGCGAGCTACATATAACTTTGATCAGTCTATCATGCACGCAATACGCCCGCCCTGTACGCGGCGAGGGAAACTTTACAGTATACATGGACTACTTTCACTATGTAAACTTGGGATACTCTTTTTACATATCTGATAATACATGGCATTTCTTGAACATTTGATAGAATTATCAAAATTCTGTGCTTTTCGCGTTCCATTCAGGTACAAACAAATACTTTATAAAAAATAATGTTTTATTCTTGTATTTACATAAATAGCCTATTAATGTATAACAGTACGGACACAAACACAGATGACACACTTACACCTAAATTATCACAGTAAATATTAAGGATAATCCTTTTAGATTATTGGCAAAATATGCTTCACCATTACAAATCTACAGGTTTGTAATGGTGAAGCTTAATTCATCTAAGAAGTTGGCCTATTTCCACGGGACACTCCCACAGACAAATTTAATGAGATCTGATAATCCCTTTCTGCAGCTCTTCCTTATTTAGCTCTCCTTCTCTGCTTCACCCTCGCGCCACACGCTACTTGCCAATTTTGACTTTTATAAAGTCGGTGCTATGAGCAGGGATGTCAGGGTAGGGACACCTGTGGAAGATAATAGGTAAGGGGGGTTGGAAAATGGGTAATTGGTGGCTGGGTAACTAACACTCAGATCATAGTGGATCTGATAATGGGTGATGAATGTATTGGTCTAATGGGTGAGTTAACACAGGAAGTAATAGAGAGTACAGGAGCCATGCAGAGTATACTAATCAAAGTAATGGATGAATAATGGATACAACTAGCGAGTGAGAGGTAATGGGGTGGATCGCGTTTTAATGGGTTATTCACTGAACTCTACATTATCCGAAGGTAGTAACTACGGGTAGACTGGAGTAGAGTTAACCATGCCAACACCTGCACGAGGCTGTTCCGGCGAGGTAATGGGTCAATTATGGCGAGGCAGAAAAGTGGGAAGGCGACACAGCCGGCCATATAATGTGATAAATAGCCGATTGATTGATGAAGATTAACCCACCCAAGATGTAGCACGGACATGAATAGCCCTAACCGTAAGATGAATATGTTGTTGTTTAAGATTCGCTACTTGGAACAAAAAGTTCCAAGTAGCACGGGCTATGGTGGAGCCCGTAATGGGCTTACCTGGCACAGGAGAGGGGCTGATAAGATAAATAGCAAAGACAGCTTTATATTATAGCTCAACATGTAACCATACACCGTTTTCTTTCACATCTCTGCATAGCCCGTCTACTCGAGTTACCATAACGGACAGAAAATGGTGTACTTATCAACGACCCACGGCCGGGGAACTCACATGTAGGAGGTGCTGGCGCAGGGCACGTGTCCAGCGCCTTTGTCGTACAGGGCCGCCCGCTTCACTACCAACACCTGTAACAAAACACAGGTGTAACCAGCTTCATTCAGTTAGCCGCATGAACAGGGCTTTCTGCACTAAGCACAGGAAAATTAGATTAATAGCTTGCTAACGAAGAGCTGGAACATTGATTGCTATATGTATGTTATAGCTGACAACGGAAACAAATCAGTTATTTGCTGGTGTAAATTATGTAGGTAAAGTTAGGAGTGTGATTATACTAGGGTAACTAAATTAATGAGCATCAATAGAGCTAGTCAGGAACAAGAGTGAGAACCAATCACATACGTCAGTTTTCCTAGTATGGGCTATTGGTGTCGCCGACTAGACGAACAATGCAGGGCTAATACACTATCCTTCACCGAAACCTAGAAGCATTTAAATGGAGAGAATGAAATGTATGCAAGTAACGATGCATTCACTAAGGCAAGTAAGGTGTACAGCCCAGTTTCGGGCACTTTATTATTATGGAGGTGACCAATTATCAGAGAAAGTTTGTCAAGAAAGATAAGAAGGCAATTCCAGGTAATCTGAACCTCCAAGAGGTCAGGTCATGCTCATTTACGTTCTGTAGAAAAGACAATTATGGGAAAGTTTTTGGAAGAACAAATGAATGAAGTATTGTAACAAGGGAATATTCATAAGGTGGTAACAGCTAGTTTGACTATAGGGTAGTTAATTTGTGGAGTAGGTTGCCAGGTAACAATATTCTTGGGATCGTTGGATTGTTTCATCAAACCGATGAACGGATGACTGATATATTTCCCCGTGTCTGGGTCAATGAACTCGCTACACAGTCCCAGAGAATATTGAAGGACATAATTTACTGGAGAAGCTTATCAAGCGAGCGTCTATCGTGTATAACCTATATATGCTTCCGTCCGGATATTCCCGCCACGAGGCACGACTTACCTGGTGTTGAGGCTGGTGTCCCTCTGGTGTTGCAGGCGTCGGCTGCAACACTGGCGCGCCGCTACTCATCACAACACACCTGTGCAACAACAATAATTATTAACTAATATACATGTACTTCAACTTTCCTCGCAATCTTTATAATGCCAAAATTGTGGCTCCAAACAACCTATTAACCATAAGAACTTCAAAGATGGCTGTTCATATACTCACAGGAAAACACAGAAGCAGACAATCTTTCCGTCCATAATTACTGATGGGTAAGGCTCCAGAGACGTGTGAGGACTCAAGTGACTACGGTGGCTGGGCCGCTACTGGTTATGGAGAAGGTCCGACCTCAATATATATACAAGCAGCCTCGCCCGTCGACCCGGCCAGAGTTACTACTCCCAGCACCCTGACGTCATGGTGACGTCACGGCGGGGAGTCAAGGTGCCTCACAAGGGCATTCATTAACCCGAATTCAATTTCTTTCCGCAAGCCTCCCCTCCCCCTCCCCCTTCTCTGTTCCTCCTACCTGTTACTCGTGAGACCGCCTCCCAGACCCTCCACCCTCTTCCCGATGTCCACTCTCTCACTTCCTTCCGAAGAAAATAATGTTATAAATCAGATTCACTCAGGCGGTCAGCTCTTTGTATACCATTACCCAGGTCGCCCACTTGCCATACAGCCTCTGTCAACACACCCACACCACTAAGTATCTTGTATAGTATGAATACGTCCTTCGTGTTGTAGTTTCTTCTTGTGTGATGTATAATACAGTATCTCGGGACATCTAAGAGTGATGTGCTCACCTAGTAGTGTCTATATTCGGACTCGTGAGATGAGACTGTCGTGTTCGAGTGCGTCATAACTGGTGTCAAGTGCTTAAATTATATGCACACTAAAAGTCTTCCTAATTCTGATTCCCGCAGTTCTCTGCAGTCCTCCTTGATTTCTATACATATTTGGCAAACATGTGCGGCTTCACCTTAATTAAGACTGATTGCTGTTATCAAGAATATAAAACATTAAATGTACTACATAGAGAAATTGTATTATCGTAATATATCAATGATACAACCCACAGAAGCGTTGACGACACAGTGGCAGTGTGAGATGTGCAGTAGGGCTGGATGCGTCGCGTATATGCTTTAAACCAGTCAATTGTAGAAACTAGTAAAAACCCTTGGACTTATTTCCACAAGTAACTAGGAATTTATTACGAGCCGGAAAAATCACTCCGAAGGCTGGAGGCTAAACTGTACACCACCAGATGGCGGAAAAAAAACTGCTGTAGCAAATGGCAAATTAATGCACCACATGGTGGGCGCTCAGCAACACATTGGTGTGCCCAGGGGAGGCGAGAGCCCCTACCCAGCCCATACAGGTTTAACTGGAAGACAGTTTGTCGACACCCAGTGATCCCAGACAATAAGTGTGTCAGGTGTCCAGTTGGTAGCCAAATAAGTCGAAGCCAAACGGCAAAAGCGTGAAAGCTCCCAATTCGCTAAACTCATATATAGAAAATTCACCGACGTCTTCCAGCGACCCCCCAGCCGAGCAGTAGCCAGCCGCCTAGAATCCCCGTGGCCACACCAGGAGCCTACCAGGTCCCACTAACTCTTGGCACCTCTTAGCCAAGCCGACGTCTGACACCAACTCTCACCCCGAATAACCAACCAGAAAATGGAAACAAAAAAATGAATCAACTTCATTGTGACCCCCCAAGCAATAAGCGCGCCAGGCGTCTAAAGTAAGCCATTGAAGAGGAATACCAGACGGTAGTATCGTGACCCAAAGAGCAAGAAGTATGTTCCGTTAACCAGCAGAGCAGGTGTACAGACGTCTACTTGTCGACAATGTTAAACCAGGAGTCCCTGTGCTCCCTATTTGGTGGAGGTAAACAAACCAGTCGTCTTGTAAACAAACTTTGGCGCGTTTCTTTACAATCCGCATTGAATTTCTGTACTAAAAGAACGCCACACCAATTGGCCGGGTTACATATCCGCTACATATATAAATAAATAAGACAACATACACAATAAATAGTAATTTAAAAAACTAAATATAAAACTTTATAAATAAAAAATATATAACAAATTTTGTGGAGTCGTTTCCAATTATATCACTGAACGTTCACAAATGTATTCCTAAAAAAAGTAAATATTATTTATATTATATATTATTTTTATTTATTTATATACAAGACGTACATTGCGTTTGTCAGAGTACATTACATGCTTACACAGCCACTGTTCATGTTTATATTTGCCTATGTTGTAAGATTCATATTTGATCAGCTAATTCAACCATGACAACGAACTGAAGTCTGAGATTGAAATTGAAATATGTTTATTGAGGTAAAATGCACACAAAGGGATAAGGTACCTCAAGCTATTCTCACCCCGTTCAGTACAACGTGTTCATACATATATAGACACACACATCACAAACAATAAACATATTGCCGAACATTCTGAGAGATAAACATATACCATTCCTCATAATGGAAATATGCTAATGTCACCTCTATCTTAAAAAAAAGGCAGAAAGAGCTTGGAAAAAAACTACTGTCCGATCAGCCTGACCTTGCATATCTGCAGGCTCATGGAGAGACTCATTCACCATCCCACAGTGCACAATCTATTAAAATCAACGCAAACATTGCTTGAGAGAACCCGTTCCAAATGCGAGTCCAAATTTGGAAAGTGATTACTAATGAAATGATGTCTTTGAGATTGGCATAATCAGCTTATAAGGTTGCTGATGGCTGAACGTCTTGTGTTGTGGCTCTCAACATCTGGTTATCCATGAAGTTGGGTATGATGGGGAATCTAGAGAGCCTTAGTCTTGTACATAACAGTAGTAGTGATTGATGAGGATTAGGCAACCCAAGAGGTAGCACGAGTGCCACCTCAATCAGTGTTAATATATGGTTGTCCAATAAAAAAAAATCAGTTCAAGTTTAGTTACTTTATTATGCGCCCCATATACACCATGTGGGCTGTAGTGGAAGAGATTGCAGAGGCACATTAATATGGGCTCAGGAACTTCAAATATATTTAGCTAAACAAGTTAGTCTTATAAACTAAGTATAGTTTAATGTATATATCAACTTTAAACATATAATGGGTTCAAGAACTGAACCACAGCACCCTGCCTGCTCAATAGTTCATGAGCATGTAGCGAGCTACATATAACTTTGATCAGTCTATCATGCACGCAATACGCCCGCCCTGTACGCGGCGAGGGAAACTTTACAGTATACATGGACTACTTTCACTATGTAAACTTGGGATACTCTTTTTACATATCTGATAATACATGGCATTTCTTGAACATTTGATAGAATTATCAAAATTCTGTACTTTTCGCGTTCCATTCAGGTACAAACAAATACTTTATAAAAAAATAATGTTTTATTCTTGTATTTACATAAATAGCCTATTAATGTATAACAGTACGGACACAAACACAGATGACACACTTACACCTAAATTATCACAGTAAATATTAAGAATAATCCTTTTAGAGTATTGGCAAAATATGTTTCATCATTACAAATCTACAGGTTTGTAATGGTGAAGCTTAATTCATCTAAGAAGTTGGCCTATTTCCACGGGACACTCCCACAGACAAATTTAATGAGATCTGATAATCCCTTTCTGCAGCTCTTCCTTATTTAGCTCTCCTTCTCTGCTTCACCCTCGCGCCACACGCTAATTGCCAATTTTGACTTTATTAAAGATGGTGCTATGAGCAGGGATGTCAGGGAAGGGACACCTGTGGAAGATAATAGGTAAGAGGGGTTAGAAAATGGGTAATTGGTGGCTGGGTAACTAACAGGCAGATCATAGTGAATCTGATAATGGGTGATGAATGTATTGGTCTAATGGGCTAGTTAACACAGGAAGTAATAGAGTACAGGAGCCATGCAGAGTATACTAATCAAAGTAATGGATACAACTAGCGAGTGAGAGGTAATGGGGTGGATCGCGTTTTAATGGGTTATTCACTGAACTCTACTTTATCCGAAGGTAGTAACTACGGGTAGACTGGAGTAGAGTTAACCTTGCCAACACCTGCACGAGGCTGTTCCGGCGAGCTAATGGGTCAATTACGGCGAGGTAGAAAAGTGGGAATGCGACACAGCCGGCCATATAATGTGATAAATAGCCGATTGATTGATGAAGATTAACCCACCCAAGATGTAGCACGGACATGAATAGCCCTAACCGTAAGATGAATATGTTGTTGTTTAAGATTCGCTACTTGGAACAAAAAGTTCCAAGTAGCACGGGCTATGGTGGAGCCCGTATTGGGCTTACCTGGCACAGGAGAGGGGCTGACAAGATGAATAGCAAAGACAGCTTTATATTATAGCTCAACATGTCACCATACACCGTTTTCTTTCACATCTCTGCCTAGCTCGTCTACTCAAGTTACGATAACGGACAGAAAATGGTGTACTTATCAGCGACCCACGGCCGGGGGACTCACCTGTAGGCGGGACTGGCGCAGGGCAGGTGTCCAGTGCCTTTGTCGTACAGGGCCGCCCGCTTCACTACCAACACCTGTAACAAAACACAGGTGTAACCAGCTTCATTCAGTTAGCCGCATGAACAGGGCTTTCTGCACTAAGCACAGGAAAATTAGATTAATAGCTTGCTAACGAAGAGCTGGATCATTGATTGCTATATGTATGTTATAGCTGACAACGGAAACAAATCAGTTATTTGCTGGTGTAAATTATGTAGGTAAAGTTAGGAGTGTGATTATACTAGAGTAACTAAATTAAGTACTTGAAGTAACTTCAACAATTCTTCGCGGCGGGGATCGTATTCCAGGGACCTGCCCGAAACGCTACGCGTCCTAGTGGCTGTACAAGAATGTAACAACTCTTGTATATATCTCAAAAAAAAAAAAATGAGCATCAATAGAGCTAGTCAGGAACAAGAGTGAGAACCAATCACATACGTCAGTTTTCCTAGTATGGGCTATTGGTGTCGCCGACTAGACGAACAATGCAGGGCTAATACACTATCCTTGACCGAATCCTAGAAGCATTTAAATGGAGAGAATGAAATGTATGCAAGTAACGATGCATTCACTAAGGCAAGCATTGGTATACAGCCCAGTTTCGGGCACTTTATTATTATGGAGGTGACCAATTATCAGAGAAAGTTTGTCAAGAAAGATAAGAAGGCAATTCCAGGTAATCTGAACCTCCAAGAGGTAAGATCATGCTCATTTACGTTCTGTAGAAAAGACAATTATGGGAAAGTTTTTGGAAGAACAAATGAATGAAGTATTGTAACAAGGGAATATTCATAAGGTGGTAACAGCTAGTTTGACTATTGGGTAGTTAATTTGTGGAGTAGGTTGCCAGGTAACAATATTCTTGGGATCGTTGGATTGTTTCATCAAACCGATGAACGGATGACTGATAAATTTCCCCGTGTCTGGGTCAATGAACTCGCTACGCAGTCCCAGAGAATATTGAAGGACATAATTTACTGGAGAAGCTTATCAAGCGAGCGTCTATCGTGTATAACCTATATATGCTTCCGTCCGGATATTCCCGCCACGAGGCACGACTTACCTGGTGTTGAGGCTGGTGTCCCTCTGGTGTTGCAGGCGTCGGCTGCAACACTGGCGCGCCGCTACTCATCACAACACACCTGTGCAACAACAATAATTATTAACTAATATACATGTACTTCAACTTTCCTCGCAATCTTTATAATGTCAAAATTGTGGCTCCAAACAACCTATTAACCATAAGAACTTCAAAGATGGCTGTTCATATACTCACAGGAAAACACAGAAGCAGACAATCTTTCCGTCCATAATTACTGATGGATAAGGCTCCAGAGACGTGTGAGGACTCAAGTGACTACGGTGGCTGGGCCGCTACTGGTTATGGAGAAGGTCCGACCTCAATATATATACAGGCAGCCTCGCCCGTCGACCTGGCCAGCGTTACTACTCCCAGCACCCTGACGTCATGGTGACGTCACGGCGGGGGGTCAAGGTGCCTCACAAGGGCAGTCATTAACCCAAACTCATTTTCTTTCCTTAAGTTCCTTCCCCCCCCCTTTCCCTTCTCTGTTCCTCCTACCTGTTACTCGTGAGACCGCCTTCCAGACCCTCCACCTCTTCCCGATGTCCACTCTCTCACTTCCTTCCGAAGAAACTAATGTTATAAATCAGATTCACTCAGGCGGTCAACTCTTTGTATACTATTACCCAGGTCGCCCACTTGCCATACAGCCTGTCAACACACCCACACCTCTAAGTATCTTGTATAGTGTGAATACGTTGTTCGTGTTGTAGTTTCTTCTTGTGTGATGTATAATACAGTATCTCGGGACATCTAAGAGTGATGTGCTCACCTAATAGTGTCTATATACGGACTCGTGAGATGAAACTGTCGTGTTCGAGTGCGTCATAACTGGTGTCAAGTGCTTAAATTATATGCACACTAAAAGTCTTCCTAATTCTGATTCCCGCAGTTCTCTGCAGTCCTCCTTGATTTCTATACATGTCTGGCAAACATGTGCGGCTTCACCTTAATTAAGACTGATTGCTGTTATCAAGAATATAAAACATTAAATGTACTACACAGAGAAATTGCATTATCGTAATATATCAATGATTCAATCCACAGAAGCGTTTTACGGGCTATTCATGCTCGTGCCACCTCTTGGGTGGCTTAATCTTCATCAGTCAATCTATCAGAAGTGTTGACGAGGCAGTGACAGTGTGAGATGCGCAGTAGGGCTGGATGCGCAGTAAAGCTGGATGCGCAGTAAAGCTGGATGCGCAGTAGGGCTGGATGCGCAGTAAAGCTGGATGCGCAGTAGGGCTGGATGCGCAGTAAAGCTGGATGCGCAGTAAAGCTGGATGCGCAGTAGGGCTGGATGCGCAGTAGAGCTGGATGCGCAGGAGGGCTGGATGTTTCACGTATGTGCTTTAAACCAGTCAATTGTAGAAACTAGTAAAACACTTGGAGCTATTTCCATAAGTAACTAGGAATTGATCAGGAACACTGGTCACAAATACCCGTTAGTCAGAACATTGCTTATCGAAGTTCAGACCAAGGATGGGCATCCTACACAGAAAGTTATACCAGGAAAATTCCGCCAATTTATTTATAATAAACTGGCAGCAACATGGGTGCAGAGAGTGCGTTAGTTGGTAGACCACCTTGACATGGTCTTAAGTATCATTGAAGATAAGCAACACTGCTTTTATATACAATTTTGTGAAAGGTTTCGATAAGTGTGACCATGATGTCAATGCACACAACAGGAATTACTGGCAGACACGGGATATGGATCTATGATTTAACGAACAGAACCCAGTGCGTAATAGCTAAAGTGAAAGCCCTGTCCTCGAGTGCGCTGAACTTGCTCCAGTACTTTCTCTTATTACGCAGTCTGGGACAAACTTTAGGCAGAAAGAATGTAAGTCACCGCGTAGAAAAGTCGACGAACCCTGCCACCCTGCCCACAGCGAGCGCAGGCTCGTCAGGCCGAGCCATGGGAAACCAGGCCAAAGACCCACAAGGAAATTGTCAAGTCCTGAAGGTAACTAGCCAAGCAGGACACCCAGGCTCAGAGGATTCTTGCCGGAAGAACAGACCCAGAACGCCGCCCAGACCACTGGGGCTGTGAAGAGCGTCTGCCGTGGCCCATACCAACAAGTGTTGGAACTTGTGTGGACGCCAACTAACTTTAGCGCCAACACTCTGAGGAGCTCCACCCCGGGGGCTTGGCCTCGACTGGACTGAGTACGGAACATACCACAGAAGCAGCGGTTATTGCAGAGGCAGTGACACTGTTGCAGGGGCAGTGTCAATGTTGCAGGGGCAGTGTCACTGTTGAAGGGGCAGTGTCACTGTTGCAGGGGCAGTGTCACTGTTGCAGGGGCAGTGTCACTGTTGCAGGGGCAGTGTCACTGTTGCAGGGGCAGTGTCAATGTTGCAGGGGCAGTGACACTGTTGCAGGGGCAGTGTCAATGTTGCAGGGGCAGTGTCACTGTTGCAGGGGCAGTGTCACTGTTGCAGGGGCAGTGTCACTGTTGCAGGGGCAGTGTCACTGTTGCAGGGGCAGTGTCACTGTTGCAGGGGCAGTGTCACTGTTGCAGGGGCAGTGCCAATGTTGCAGGGTCGGTTGCAACGTCGCAGGGGTAGTAACAAGGTTGCAGCTGCAATGTTGCAGGGGCAGTTGCAATGTTGCAGAGGCAGTGACAATGTTGCAGAGGCAGTGTCAATGTTGCATAGGCAGTGACAATGTTGCAGAGGCAGTGGCAATGTTGCAGAGGCAGTGACAATGTTGCAGGGGCAGTGTCACTGTTGCAGAGGCAGTGGCAATGTTGCAGGGGCAGTGTCACTGTTGCAGAGGCAGTGCCAATGTTGCAGAGGCAGTGTCACTGTTGCAGAGGCAGTGACAATGTTGCAGAGGCAGAGTCACTGTTGCAGAGGCAGTGACAATGTTGCAGAGGCAGTGGCAATGTTGCAGAGTCAGTGGCAATGTTGCAGAGGCAGTGGCAATGTTGCAGAGGCAGTGGCAATGTTGCAGAGGCAGTGACAATGTTGCAGAGGCAGTGACAATGTTGCAGGGGCAGTGACAATGAGCATCTAAGGAAGAAACCCGTGGACTTGCGCAAGGAGAAACACAAGACTAACCAGCCCACGCAACAAGCCTGATTAAACACGCACGTGAACAAATACTAACAAGAACAACTTCACGCCCGTAAATGGCTCTCACGGGACAAAAGTTAAAGAATGGTCATCACTTAACTGAGAAACAAGGGATCTACTGCAAAACACTTACTTATCACTACAGTGGTGTTGATAACTCCAGACCAGTCTTCAGCCGGCCCTTCTGGAGCCGCCTTGGGGCGGGGGTTGTCGGTACTAACAGGCTGGAGATAGTTTTGAGTGAATTAATTGTTTATTGATTCTGTTATAGAATTGTTTGGAGGTTTCCAGGCTTCATTTCCTACGAATCTTTCAGTTGTCCAATGCTTCGGCGATTTCCTGGATGCTTTGTGGTGAGGTTGTTGAGGGTCCTTGGATGGGGGGGAGGGGGGTGTTACTGTGCTACTTATAGTGGTATGCTCTAATTAAAACTACCATGTTACTGTGCTACTTATAGTGGTATGCTCTAATTAAAACTACCATGTTACTGTGCTACTTATTGTGGTATGGTCTAATTAAAACTACCATGTTACTGTGCTACTTATTGTGGTATGCTCTAATTAAAACTACCATGTTACTGTGCTACTTATTGTGGTATGCTCTAATTAAAACTACCATGTTACTGTGCTACTTATTGTGGTATGCTCTAATTAAAACTACCATGTTACTGTGCTACTTATTGTGGTATGCTCTAATTAAAACTACCATGTTACTGTGCTACAGGGCTGCAGTACCAATTTAAGACAAGATTTAGCAAGCTCTCCAGGTAGGAGGAAACAAGCCCCGGACCCCAGGGAAATTACTCCCCAATTTAAAACAGCAAAGGAAAGAGCCGTTTTACTCCAAAATGTTACTCCTACCCTTCACCCACCACTGGGCACAAGAAATAGGCAGTATAGATACAATTTATTATTCACAGTAGCCTCATTTACCCGCAACAAAAAAACACCTGGCACTGCCTATTGATATTTACGTTAATACTCAGTACCCTCCTTTGGACAAAGATACCACCCCTTACCAGCACTATACTAAGGCAGGCCATAAGCTTCTGAAAGAAGTAAACATTGAGATTTCCTGTAACCCCCCGCCCCCTCCCTCACACACTCAATAACATCCTCTCCAGTTTTACTCCCACAAAACACCTAATAGTGGAATAAGGTTAGAGTTGTACACGTTTATCATACAATAATCAGAGTAGATTGCTCACCACGACTTTATACATAGAAATGAACTTATCCGAAACAATTCCCAAGAGTAAATATCAACACTCACCTGATTCATAATGTTGTGCTGCCGGGAATCTTAGCGAAGTATCCATAATTGTCTTACTGTAGGTGCAGTCTGCACATGACTCTAAAGCTGCCGCCCAGTTGGGTGGGTGTAGAGCACATGACTGTAAAGCTGCCGCCCAGTTGGGTGGGTGTGGAGCACATGACGGTAAAGCTGCCGCCCAGTTGGGTGGGTGTAGAGCACATGACTGTAAAGCTGCCGCCCAGTTGGGTGGGTGTGGAGCACATGACTGTAAAGCTGCCGCCCAGTTGGGTGGGTGTAGAGCACATGACTGTAAAGCTGCCGCCCAGTTGGGTGGGTGTGGAGCACATGACTGTAAAGCTGCCGCCCAGTTGGGTGGGTGTAGAGCACATGACTAGTAACTGTGTGACTCACCATAGATGTAAAGTGCCTTGTATAGTGACTATTGTGAACCTCTTGTTGAAGCACTTGTGATACAAAAGATTAATGATGTGTGTATTTGTGTAGGTGATTGAATATATATGTATATATATGTATGTATGTATATACATATATATACACACACACCAAGGACACGCAAGCACAAGCATCAGGGAACAGCGCTAACGTGCAGAGAACAGAAACAATATTACATTGAAGAAAAAATAGGAAGCAGAAAGGCACGGCAAAAACAACCAGTACCACACAAGGAAAAACAAAACACACTAGTGAAAAAGTAAACACAGACAAATACCACCAAACAAACTGAGGCCGTTATCACCACCAACACAATAACACGGAACAGGATAACACATAACAGACCCAACAAAGGCAAAATAGGGGAAGCTTGCAACCCCCCCCCCTAACATGCATACCACCACACCCAAACTGAACCAATTATAGGGGAACACGGGTGACAGGAAAGGCCAGATACTAGACCTAATTTAACAACATACAATAAAAGCAGACTATATCCAGCACACCACACATACACAGACCTACAAGCACGGAGGGGAGACGTCTCCGAACCTCGCTACAAGAAGAGATCCTTGAAGTGGCCGGAGGGCCACCACCGGGAAATCCACCTGAGGAGGGGGCAAGAGACCCCCTTTTCAACAACAGGGGCAAAACCCCACACGCCGGTCCACTGGGTATTGGCGGGCTCACAGGCAGGAACCAGCACAGGATCCATGCTCCGCCCACCGCATCTGTTCCTCCACAAGGAGGAGTTTCTGCTCCGCCTTCCCCATCCCCCTCTCAGCGTCCATAGTCCCCACCGGGTCCGCACCACCCAGGGACCGCGACCTGGCAGCGCCTCTCCGACGCTTCTGTTTAGGAACGAGCCCAACCGTACGCGAAGTGTCCTGGAGGCATCGCGGGGGATGTACTCCGTCCATAGGCAAGGGATCCTGGGACGTCACCGGAAAAGATTGGAGGGGAGGACCTCCCCTACAGCGCCCCACCGGCGGGTCAGCCACACCAGACCCGCACTCCAGGACAGAAGGGGACACCCCCAGGGGAGTCTCCGCCACCTCCACAGGAGGTGGCACAATGTGGATGCTCCGGTGCACTGATCAGGTGCTCCTCCAGCACCTGATGCGCAACTACATCCTCACACACTGGCGATCCGTCGGTCTCCGTCAACACAGAGCGCACTATTACTCCCTAGCTTTCAGCCGGAACCTTCACATACACAGGCCCATCACTTGGGAGACAGGGAGGCAGAACAACACCCCCATTGGCTCGTCCTGGGTCACAAAAGGTCGATATATTCAATATATCCTCCCTGAATATATTCACTCGGTTAGCCGCGACCAAGGTGCAGCCCCCAGGTGACCCTGCTGACCACAAGGATAACATGTACGGGCTGACGTCTTCGCAGACATAGTAGCATAAACCCCATCAGGGACAACATAGATGGGACATTTCGCGCCAGGGACATCGTCAAAGTCCGGATGCCATCAAGCATCCCCGCACAGTGGCCGGCAGAGACATTGTTCCACCAGACACTGAGCCCTTTCCCAAACCGCCCAAAGATCGCTGGAGTTTTGTTTGGCTCCCCAGGGTCCAGAAACTGGACCCCTCACAGGCATAGAGCCAATGACATTCTGCCACTTCACTTGAGAAGTATTCAGAGAGAGTGTAGCTTCGCAGAGAACGCGTGGGTTCGCTTGACCCAAAACCTCCAAGACGTAACAGAGTGGCCGTAGTAGCAGTTATTGCATCATTATGTATCAAGGCCAAAGAAACTCTTTATCATAAAAATATAAAACTTTATTTCTAATATCAAAACTCAAAGCCTTGAGTTGTATAATAAAACACTTTATACATCTACATTTACACCTAATTTATCACAGTAAATATTAAGAATAATCTTTGTATGTTATTGGTAAAATATACAGATACATTTTACTAACTTATAGTATAGTGAAACTTAATTCACATGTGAGAAGTAGGCCTATTGTCATGGATGAAACTTCATACACGAGAAGTTACTTGTCTAGTAACTACATAACCCGTCTTGTCTAGAACCCCTTCTGATACTGCCTTGCGATACACTCCGCCTTGCGTCAGGCCCGCCATGCGTCAAGGGCTACTTTCGTCACGCTCTGCCATGCGTCAAGGACTACTTGCGTCACACTCCGCCATGCGTCAAGGACTACTTGCGAATTTCGACTGGAATAAAATCAGTGTCGTGGCAGTCGAAGAAGCCTCGCGCGCGACACAGAGCAGGGGCATCAGGGAAGGGGCACCTGTGGCAGATAATAGGTAAGGGGGGTTGAGTAAGTGGGAAATTAATGGGCAGTTGAGAGTAAACCTGGTAATGAGTATGAATGTGTTAATCTACTGGACGAGTTAACACGGGAAGGAAGTAATGGATAGTACAGGATCCACATGGAGTATAAGGATTATAAAGTAATAGGTGAATGTGGATACAACTATAAGGAGTGGAAGGTAATGGGGTGGATCGCGGTGTAATGGATTATGACAGGGAGGGAGGGGAAATAGAGGAAAGAATGACCACAGAGCGAGACCCGAGGGTAAGAACTATGGGTAGAGTGGCGGGGGTTTCAGCCCCCCCCCATGAACCTTGCCTATCACCTGCACGAGGTTGTTCTGGTGAAGTAGTGGGTCAGTTATACCGAGGCAGACAATAGGGAAGGCGATACAACTGGTCAACATACAATGTGATGAATAACTTATAAATGCAGCCTCATATATTAAATTATAGTACTGTATCATCATGCCATGTTGTCCTTTATATCAGGGGCCTGCAACACTTGTTCTATGTAACACTATTGAAAATCGAATGTTTGCTGCACTAGAGATCTATTAAACAGTGTTGTTTACACTTACCAACACTGGCTCCGTGGCACTGGGAACAGGAGGCCTGACCAGACCACCACATATGTGCCTAGCCCGTTTACTCGAATTATACCACAACTAACGGGCGAATTTGAATTTGAATTTGAATAACAGAAAATGGTGTCCTTATCAACGACCCACGGGGGACTCACCTGAAGGAGGTGCCGGCGCAGGGCAGGTCTCCAGTGCCTCTGTCGTACAGGGCCGCCCGCTTCACTACCAACACCTGTAACAAAACACAGGTGTAACTAGCTTCAGTCATCATTCAATTAAGCGCATGAACAGGACCATCTGCACTAAGCACAGGAAAACTAGGTTAATAGCTTGCTATCTAAGAGCTGGAACATTGATTACATAATGTATAATATCTTAGTTGGCAATTTGTTGGTGTAAATGATGTAGGTCAAGCTAGGAGAGGTTTTACTTGAAGAGTAGAGGGCAACCATAGAGTTAGAGGCAAAGAAGTCATTCCAGAATGGTAGTTGGAAGTGAATGGTTCTCTAAGACTATTGGCATTAACTTCTGGCTAGACAAATATTGCAAAGCTAATACAATATCCATTGAAAATTAGATACTTTTGAGTAGACCGAAAAATTACATGCCAGAAATGTTGCATTTATTTAGTCCGTATTTAGGTTATACAGTTCAGTACAGAGGTGCCCTGGAGTCAGGCAACTGTTGTGGGTGGCATCCTAGGGAAAGTCAGCAGCTGCCTAAGGAGGCCTACATAAGCACAAGCACAGGCTTCCTGTCCCCTCACAACGGGGATTATTATAATAGACGTGATCACAAGGGGATTAGAAATAGCCTAACTTACCCTATCCCTTTGAGATGTATTTTTTTTGTCTCAATAAACGTACTTGAACTTGATCACTGAATTGTTCGTTTCATCAAACCGATGAACGGATGACTGATAAATTTCCCCGTGTCTGGGTCAATGAACTCGCTACGCAGTCCCAGAGAATATTGAAGGACATAATTTACTGGAGAAGCTTATCAAGCGAGCGTCTATCGTGTATAACCTATATATGCTTCCGTCCGGATATTCCCGCCACGAGGCACGACTTACCTGGTGTTGAGGCTGGTGTCCCTCTGGTGTTGCAGGCGTCGGCTGCAACACTGGCGCGCCGCTACTCATCACAACACACCTGTGCAACAACAATAATTATTAACTAATATACATGTACTTCAACTTTCCTCGCAATCTTTATAATGCCAAAATTGTGGCTCCAAACAACCTATTAACCATAAGAACTTTAAAGATGGCTGTTCATATACTCACAGGAAAACACAGAAGCAGACAATCTTTCCGTCCATAATTACTGATGGTTAAGGCTCCAGAGACGTGTGAGGATTCAAGTGTCTACGGTGGCTGGGCCGCTACTGGTTATGGAGAAGGTCCGACCTCAATATATATACAAGCAGCCTCGCCCGTCGACCTGGCCAGCGTTACTACGCCCAGCACCCTGACGTCATGGTGACGTCACGGCGGGGGTGAAGGTGCCTTACAAGGGCAGTCATTAACCCAAACTCATTTTCTTTCCGTAAGTTCCCCCCCCCCTTCTCTGTTCCTCCTACCTGTTACTCGTCATAACTAGTCTAGCTCTTGGCCCCCGCCTCTCAAACGCTGTAGTTTTATTATTTAAATCGTTCTAGGTCAGTGGGATTTGTCTTCACCTTTTGTTGGAGACAAAGTCTTAGAATGGAGTAAATACGCCGTTGTCGCTGGGGTCTTTTATGGCGGGAAAATGAGTAGTTGAGTTACGGGATGCGTATTGTTTTACGCCATTAACTAAACATTTAGTCTAGACAGGTGTTTGTTAACATAGGGCAAGCTGTCATGCGCACCTACACCAGCCCACGTCAATGGTTGAGGCCTTGAGGCTTTCCCAAGAGTGTTCCGGGGGTTCACCGCAGTTTTCACTTTTACCTAATGTTTCTTCTGCCAATAGTTAGGGTCAAACACTCTGGTACTGGACAAACACACTGGTACTAGACAAACACACACTGGTACTGGACAAACACACTGGTACTGGACAAACACTCTGGTACTGGACAAACACACTGGTACTGGACAAACACTCTGGTACTGGACAAACACACACTGGTACTGGACAAACACACTGGTACTGGTCAAACACTCTGGTACTGGACAAACACACACTGGTACTGGACAAACACTCTGGTACTGGTCAAACACTCTGGTACTGGACAAACACACACTGGTACTGGACAAACACTCTGGTACTGGACAAACACACACTGGTACTGGTCAAACACTCTGGTACTGGACAAACACACTGGTACTGGTCAAACACTCTGGTACTGGACAAACACACACTGGTACTGGACAAACACACACTGGTACTGGACAAACACACACTGGTACTGGACAAACACTCTGGTACTGGTCAAACACTCTGGTACTGGACAAACACACACTGGTACTGGTCAAACACTCTGGTACTGGACAAACACACTGGTACTGGACAAACACTCTGGTACTGGACAAACACACACTGGTACTGGACAAACACTCTGGTACTGGTCAAACACTCTGGTACTGGACAAACACACACTGGTACTGGTCAAACACTCTGGTACTGGACAAACACACTGGTACTGGTCAAACACTCTGGTACTGGACAAACACACACTGGTACTGGACAAACACACACTGGTACTGGACAAACACACACTGGTACTGGACAAACACACACTGGTACTGGACAAACACACACTGGTACTGGACAAACACACACTGGTACTGGACAAACACACACTGGTACTGGACAAACACACACTGGTACTGGACAAACACTGGTACTGGACAAACACTGGTACTGGACAAACACACACTGGTACTGGACAAACACAAGCTGGTACTGGACAAACACACACTGGTACTGGACAAACACACACTGGTACTGGACAAACACTGGTACTGGACAAACACACACTGGTACTGGACAAACACACACTGGTACTGGACAAACACTGGTACTGGACAAACACTGGTACTGGACAAACACACACTGGTACTGGACAAACACACACTGGTACTGGACAAACACACACTGGTACTGGACAAACACACTGGTACTGGACAAACACACTGGTACTGGACAAACACACACTGGTACTGGACAAACACACTGGTACTGGACAAACACACTGGTACTGGACAAACACACACTGGTACTGGACAAACACTGGTACTGGACAAACACTGGTACTGGACAAACACTGGTACTGGACAAACACTGGTACTGGACAAACACTGGTACTGGACAAACACTGGTACTGGACAAACACACACTGGTACTGGACAAACACTGGTACTGGACAAACACTGGTACTGGACAAACACTGGTACTGGACAAACACTGGTACTGGACAAACACTGGTACTGGACAAACACTGGTACTGGACAAACACACACTGGTACTGGACAAACACTGGTACTGGACAAACACACACTGGTACTGGACAAACACTGGTACTGGACAAACACACACTGGTACTGGACAAACACTGGTACTGGACAAACACACACTGGTACTGGACAAACACTGGTACTGGACAAACACTGGTACTGGACAAACACTGGTACTGGACAAACACACACTGGTACTGGACAAACACTGGTACTGGACAAACACACACTGGTACTGGACAAACACTGGTACTGGACAAACACTGGTACTGGACAAACACACACTGGTACTGGACAAACACACACTGGTACTGGACAAACACACACTGGTACTGGACAAACACACACTGGTACTGGACAAACACACACTGGTACTGGACAAACACACACTGGTACTGGACAAACACTGGTACTGGACAAACACTGGTACTGGACAAACACACACTGGTACTGGACAAACACAAGCTGGTACTGGACAAACACACACTGGTACTGGACAAACACACACTGGTACTGGACAAACACTGGTACTGGACAAACACACACTGGTACTGGACAAACACTGGTACTGGACAAACACACACTGGTACTGGACAAACACACACTGGTACTGGACAAACACAAGCTGGTACTGGACAAACACACACTGGTACTGGACAAACACACACTGGTACTGGACAAACACACTGGTACTAGACAAACACACACTGGTACTGGACAAACACACTGGTACTGGACAAACACACTGGTACTAGACAAACACACACTGGTACTGGACAAACACACACTGGTACTGGACAAACACAAGCTGGTACTGGACAAACACACACTGGTACTGGACAAACACACACTGGTACTGGACAAACATACACTGGTACTGGACAAACACACACTGGTACTGGACAAACACACACTGGTACTGGACAAACACACACTGGTACTGGACAAACACACACTGGTACTGGACAAACACACACTGGTACTGGACAAACACACACTGGTACTGGACAAACACACACGGGTACTGGACAAACACACACTGGTACTGGACAAACATACACTGGTACTGGACAAACACACACTGGTACTGGACAAACACTGGTACTGGACAAACACACACTGGTACTGGACAAACACACACTGGTACTGGACAAACACACACTGGTACTGGACAAACACTGGTACTGGACAAACACACTGGTACTAGACAAACACACACTGGTACTGGACAAACACACTGGTACTGGACAAACACACTGGTACTAGACAAACACACACTGGTACTGGACAAACACACACTGGTACTGGACAAACACAAGCTGGTACTGGACAAACACACACTGGTACTGGACAAACACACACTGGTACTGGACAAACATACACTGGTACTGGACAAACACACACTGGTACTGGACAAACACACACTGGTACTGGACAAACACACACTGGTACTGGACAAACACACACTGGTACTGGACAAACACACACTGGTACTGGACAAACACTGGTACTGGACAAACACACTGGTACTGGACAAACACACTGGTACTGGACAAACACACTGGTACTGGACAAACACAAGCTGGTACTGGACAAACACACACTGGTACTGGACAAACACACACTGGTACTGGACAAACACACACTGGTACTGGACAAACACACGCTGGTACTGGACAAACATACACTGGTACTGGACAAACACACACTGGTACTGGACAAACACACACTGGTACTGGACAAACACACACTGGTACTGGACAAACACACACTGGTACTGGACAAACACACACTGGTACTGGACAAACACACACTGGTACTGGACAAACATACACTGGTACTGGACAAACACACACTGGTACTGGACAAACACACACTGGTACTGGACAAACACACACTGGTACTGGACAAACACACACTGGTACTGGACAAACACACACTGGTACTGGACAAACACACACTGGTACTGGACAAACACACTGGTACTGGACAAACACACTGGTACTGGACAAACACACACTGGTGCTGGATAAACACACACTGGTACTGGATAAACACACTGGTACTGGACAAACACACACTGGTACTGGACAAACACACACTGGTACTGGACAAACACACACTGGTACTGGACAAACACACTGGTACCGGACAAACACACACTGGTACTGGACAAACACACACTGGTACTGGACAAACATACACTGGTACTGGACAAACATACACTGGTACTGGACAAACACACTGGTACTGGACAAACACACACTGGTACTGGACAAACACACACTGGTACTGGACAAACATACACTGGTACTGGACAAACACACACTGGTACTGGACAAACACACACTGGTACTGGACAAACATACACTGGTACTGGACAAACACACTGGTACTGGACAAACACACACTGGTACTGGACAAACACACTGGTACTGAACAAACACACTGGTACTGGACAAACACACTGGTACTGGACAAACACACACTGGTACTGGACAAACACACACTGGTACTGGACAAACACACACTGGTACTGGACAAACACACACTGGTACTGGACAAACATACACTGGTACTGGACAAACACACTGGTACTGGACAAACACACACTGGTGCTGGATAAACACACACTGGTACTGGATAAACACACTGGTACTGGACAAACACACACTGGTACTGGACAAACACACACTGGTACTGGACAAACACACACTGGTACTGGACAAACACACTGGTACTGGACAAACACACACTGGTGCTGGATAAACACACACTGGTACTGGATAAACACACTGGTACTGGACAAACACACACTGGTACTGGACAAACACACACTGGTACTGGACAAACACACTGGTACTGGACAAACACACACTGGTGCTGGATAAACACACACTGGTACTGGATAAACACACTGGTACTGGACAAACACACACTGGTACTGGATAAACACACACTGGTACTGGATAAACAC